TTCTCCTCTAAGCCGCGGTCTTCATTGGCTTGGAGGATCTCCAGCGTCTTTGTGATTTTTGTGCTGGGGAACCAGCCCTTCTCCAGGCGGCGAATGTATTTCTTCTTCTCGGCCTTGTTCCTCAAAGCGTCCTTGCGCAGCTGGGCTAGAGACTTCGCCTTCGTTTTCTTCTTTGATTCCGCGTCGCCCTCTTCAGTAGAGCTGTCGGAGTCAGACTCTTCACTGCTCGCTGTTGCTTCTGGGTCTTCGTCGTCATTGGGCTCGTTGGTATCACCGGCTCCAGCGGCAGATTCGGGCACTGAAGTTGGATCGTGGACCTGCTTGAATGCATTGGTGTCGGTGAGTTTCGCAGGGTCCACAGGCCCTCGGCAGTTCTGGCACTTAATCACAGCTGGACCATCGTCTTCGAGGTTGATGGCTCCGTTTGCAGTTGCAGAGTCGGAGATGCGGATCCAGCACTCCGAGCACACATGGTGTCCACATGGAATGTAAATAGTCGCATTTTTGACACTGTCCATGCAGACAGGGCAGGTGCCATCCTCTTCACCGTCATTATCTTTGATACGTTGCACTACAGCAGCAGTCAGAAGCTTAGCGTTGGCGATCTTGTCCACCCCCGGGATAGACGGGGAGGGTTCATTTCGGAAATCCTGCATGAGAAGTGGATGGCAGCATGCCTGCCGAAGACGGAGAAGGAGAACTAGAACATGGCTGTAGTTTCTGCCCAACGTTCCGGAGTCAAGGTATCGGGTGATCTGCCTTTGAGTGGACGTATTGAGCTCCTCATAAACCTGGCTTTCTCTCTCATCAAATACAACATGGACCTTCTCGGTGACCTTTGGTGGGAGTTGCAAGATGGGCTCGCCATCAATCTTGGAGGATTTTGTGCGTCGGAGACAGACAGACTTGACTAGAACGCGTAGTTGCTTCATGACATCTTCGCCTCCCCAACCAGATTTGATGCGTCTCACGAAGTCCTGGATAAATATAAATGTTAGTCAGCCAAAGAAGCATCAATAGTGAACTATAGAGAGTACTAACCGCCTTGAATTTTGCTGGGTTGCTATAAGGCCGAATACGGAGGAATCCCAATAGGGACTGGAAATCTTCGAGACGATTCATCATAGGCGTACCAGTCAGACACCAGCGGTAGGTAGCATTGAGTCGACAACATGCTATTGCCGATTTCGCACTTGGGTTCTTGATGTTCTGTGCTTCATCGATGATGACGCGGTGCCACTTGGCAGCAGGACTGAGAGGACCGGCCGCATTTTTGAGGTCTTGGATTATCGAGGGATCCCGCCCTTCCTCTGCCAACTTTTCCGCCTGGAGCAATGTTTTGTAGTGCGCAGTGATTGTACCAAACGTCGTGATAATGATATCATACCTTTTGAGCTCCTTCCAAGGCCTGCGCCGTTGATGGTAGATCAAGACTGATAATTGGTGCCTTCCCGGCTTGACATGGCGCTGGATTTCAAGTCTCCATTGATCCATAAGTGCCTTGGGCGCAACAATCAAAGTCGGGCGTCGGTCTTCATCCTCGAATGGGCGAGCAACCATCAGTGCAATCGCTTGGATAGTTTTACCAAGTCCCATGTCATCTGCAAGAATTCCTCCTTTGTGGTTGCTCTCTTCTTTGGCCTTCATCCATCTCAGGCCGATCTTCTGGTGCTTCATCAACGTGACTCGAAGAGCACTTGGTGTCTCATCATTGTCCGCTTTAGTTGCCTCTCGAATATCTTTGATACCGCTGAGCAAGTTCTTGATATCTTCAGGAAACTCCTTCTCGTTGTAGGCCCTATATTAAATGAGTTAGAATCAGAACTAGCTGCTTCAAAAGAAAGATGCGGACGTACACTATGTCAGCATCGTCATCGAATATTTCGCTTTGGTTGCGAACCAGGTCAAAGGCCTTGTCAAACTTGTCGAATTTGTCATACTTCTCAAATGTACCCGGCATTGTAGAGTACGGAGGATCACGCGACCAGGGAAGATTTCTGGAGGCAGCTGCTGATGTGGAATATGGCATTGAGGGATTTGACAATTGGGAGGGATAGGCCAACTGCGAAGGATATGGTAATTGGGAAGGATATGACAATTGGGAGGGATATGTCAACTCGGAGGGATATGGCAATTGAGAGGGGTATGTCAACTCGGAGGGATATGGCATCCGCGAGGGATAGGGTCCCTGTGAAGTGTACGGTGATTTGGAATATTGCGAAGGGAGAGATGGAAGGTGGGGATATGAACTGGATGGGCGGGCTGGCTGCTTGCCGGATCGATCTTTGAATGAATCGGCTGTGATTTCTTGAAGATCATCGTCGGAATTGAATGGATTGAGTTTATTGAATGGGGCTATCGGGGCATATGCTTGAGGTGCACGATTGGGGTTTGATGAAAGATGTTCGAGTTTTACCGGTTGACTGCGGTCAGGAATATTCCATGTATGACGCTCATTGGAACGGGGGAGTTGACTGTGATCCTCGTCGGCTTGGAGCGCGCGAGCCAATTCCGCGTCTCGTTCCATTTGGAACTCTGTCTCAATCAACTTCGCCTGCTCCTCGCACTCTTCCCGGAGTTCGTTTACTTCATCTGCATCGTCACCTGCCGCATCGATCCAGTGCTTGTACAAGCGCTGATTCTCGGCAAGGCGGGCTTCTTGTGCAGCATCTATCTCGTCGAGTTTAGATCCGCGAGATTTAGGCTGCGAGGGAGCAATCCTTTTTGATGATCCCTGGATCGTGGGCGAGACCTGAGATAGCGGACGCTGGCGTTTACGAGAATGATCTGGAGAAGGCTGTATCATTGGTGAAGCTGGCAGTAATATCGACTGGCCAGACCCGGCCGCGAAAGGGGAGGGCGCAGCAGAAGGCCAGTGAGGGGACGCAAATGAATCTCCGGGGATTCCAGTGAAAGTGTTGGACGCCTTGCGTGGAGTAGCCGTAGGCGTCCGGACTGGCGGAGTGGGGGATGTCACTTGCGGTGTTGGGGCGGCTTGAGAAGTAGGAACAGGATCACCAAGGAGCGTGGCAACCTGGACTTCCATATTTTTGATGGTATCACGAAGCTCGTCTGCTTCTGCACAAGGACCCCGCGTCGCGAGGAGATCATCGTATATGTATCTGTAGGTATCGAGATCTTCCAAAAGGTCTTTGATCTTGTCCTCTTGGGACTGATCGACCGAAGAAGCCATGGCTCAAGAGCACCTGGCGCTGACCGCGAAATGTTCCAAGACCAAAATATCTGACCAAAATATCCCGATCGTTAAGAGGGTAGAGAGTGAGGATGGCGATGGGTGTGACGGCTAGGGCAGAAGGCAAAATCGTAGACAAATAGAGCTACGACATCAAGTAAGCGTATAGGGTGAAGAGCAAAGTGTTCTGGGAGAGTCAGCCGGTGAAACTTGGGTTCTCATCAGCAAACCGCAAGGCAGAAAGCGGGTAGCGGCAGATGGCAGATGTCACAGTGATGAAGAGAAAGAAAGCAGAGGAGCAACTCATCGAATTGCGTCTCTGTGCCATCTCGTATGGGTATTTGCAGAGGATGTAGACTTACCCCGAGTACTATCGACGATTCACGGGGGAGAATCTGTGGATGACGGAGCGGATTTTCGGACCTCAGGAGCGAGGAGGTGGCGATCGCAGAAATGGGAGAGCCCTCGTTTTTATAGTGCAAACGATCCGATGGAAAGGACATGGGAGTTGATGCTCTTTGCGACCGTTCAGCTGGCCCCGGGGGTCGAAATGTTCACCTCTGCGGGGGCAGTTGAAGTTCTCGCCCAAGATGTCATCCTCTATCGCAGTCTACAGCGACCATGAGGGACTTTGATCCTATTGACTTTTATTGCCTGCAGAAAATTGGCTATCTGGAGAGATATGTTGGAAGACTTCCAGACGATATTAGAAAACATTTAAAAAGACGACAAAAAAGAGATGAGAGAAAGACAAATGATTGAAACATCTCTGATATCATCTTAAACTGACTGGATATTCAGATGGTCCAAGTCCTATATCGGTAAGTGTAGAGGTGTATGAGCGGCCACCTATTCTACTCCCATGTAAATGACCAACCCACTATAAATCCATAGGAACTTCTCATCAAGAGGTTGATCTAGCAATTCAAGTGCTCTCTACAAAGTAAATGTATGGATGTTTATGGTGTTAGAAATTACTTCGTAGAAGGCGGAGACAGAGGCGGTGAACCCTAAAAGCCAATAGTACCAAAGCTCCTAATGAACGCTATCGTCTACTCTGCTTATGAGTACCTGCCAAGGTCCCACGAGGGTGTCTTCTACTTGAGCCTCCTTCAGGCACTGTAGTTTTATTCAATTCCTATATGTCGTACATGAGTATTGAAGTCTTACAGAAAATGTTCATTAGTGATATAGACATATACTTCGGAGTATGTAGGTGATTCTACCTGCGTCGCTGTACAACCTTGATTGACATGAACGCGCGCTCTTATCAGAACGTGATCCTGCGCGTCACGCGCCAAACAAGCTAAACACAGGGCTAGATGAGGCTTGCCCTACTATCCCAATTGGGCACTGGACACCCCGAGGCATCTGGTTCTAGTTTCAGCCATCTCGGAGTAGTTTCAAGATTTCGATCATGACTGTGAGAGGTTGATATGACTCATATGGTGCCTGGGCTGGAGGAGGAATCGTCGAGTTGCATGTTATAAGACAAGAAGGAGTACAACATTCGACGTGCAGCTCAGGCTACAACTGATGCCGATATTCAGACCGGAGGAATATCTCTTACATGTAGCTGAAACGTAAACTAGGGGGATAGACGGGATGCACTATTCAATGTAAGGTCTGGAGAGAGGGCATTTTATTTGAATGTATTAAATTTGCAGTAATTGATCACTTGGAGATATACTGAATTGTTCAACTACCAATCATCTACGTGTAGTGCCCATATTTCAATCAATTGGGTTGCTGCCTCGGTGATATATATCTGCAAAGGGTCTCTGCAGAAACGATCGATCCATCGATGATGGCATCGGAACAGGGACTGGTTCGACTATGGAAGACGAAGCACATCCAAGAAGTTCTCAAGAGCTATCTAGCAAAAAAAGACCTCACCGCATGCCGTCTAGTATCTCGCGAGCTCGCTGTCTACATCGCACCAATCCTCTTCGCAGACATTGAAGTCCGTTTCCGCAGCAGCACTTTCAACAGGCCATCACGGATGGCAGCTCTAGAGCGTATCGGGGGACACATCCAGGCCATGACATTTAAGATCTCACATAATAGGGAGACCTTCTTACCTCCAATCCTGGATCCAATCATGGGGACAGAACAGACGTTCATCTACACACCACAACGATGCCAACATAGTGGCAGCCTCAGGTATGGTAGCCGGCAAATGACAGAGTTATTAGTCAAGCAGTACCCGCCTCTGTTCCATGCATCTACAAACATCCCATCATTTGTCCAGGCATTGACGATGATGAGCGGCTTGCAACATCTGCGAATCTCCTGCGAGGGTCAGCTACCAAGCCATCGCTACCGCCGAAGTGTAGTAGATTATGCATTGATCTCATTGCGAATGGCAATCGAGCAAGCACCATTGAAAGATCTCCACACCCTGTCATTATTATCAGTCCACCCAGGAGCGGTCCTTTACCTGCGTCCAGCTCTAGGATTTGGTGCTTCGCCTGCATCCTGCAAGCGCTGGTCCCAGATCCGCAAGCTCACGGTCCACATGACGAATTTCGGCCATGAGCCAGGTCAACCGACGGACCACCTCAAGCTCCTCCATGCATACCTAGCAAGCTTCCCATCTCTGCGAAGACTGGTCTTTCATTGGGAAGGCGAGAGGGGCCTATTACCTCTATCACTTGCAACAGAGCTGAGCCTCAACAGCAAAGCCACAGGAAAGCCAAGTCAAGCATGTCCTCAGAGATGCGCGTCACCCTTACGGCCATTGAAATTCAAACATCTTCAGCAGATGGAGCTGGTCAATGCAACAACGGACGCGTCGCAAGTGGCGTCTTTCATCCAGGAGCACCGGAGTTCCCTACGCGAGTTCAACTTCGAAAACGTGGTGCTTCGCAGCGGAAATTGGGACGACGCGCTCGCGCCGTTGACACGACTCAGCGGCAGCGAAGGGTGGAAGCAGGGTCAGCGCGACACCGACACCGTGGATGTGCCAATAGTGTTGAGTCTAGCGGGAGTCAGCCAGAAACAGTTATATAAGGCGATTTGTGCTCTGCAGCAACAAAAGGGACCGAGAACGCTGAGAAATTTGGCCAAAGCGCGATCCCGGACACGTGAGCTGCTGTTGGGAAGCCCGGATCATATGAAGCGGCTGCTTCGGTCTTCGGTGTTTAGTTGGCGGTGACGTCAAGAGCAAGGGGTACGTAAAGTTCTCTCCCGAGGAAGGAATGGCATAGGCTAAGACCAACAACCGTAGTAGTGTCGCGGCGAATACCGCATTTGTGAAACTTTCAGGTCCCAATGCAACCTAAGCGTGGTTCGTGTGGAGTCGGGGGGAATTCATGGGGGCGAACTGTCAACACGGGGAAGACTGAGAGAGGGACCAAGACTATGAACAGTAATAGAAATGCAGATCCTAGTCAATCCAGACAGAATCCTGGAGAAACGACAACAAATAGAGCAAAGTAAAAAGAAGAATCACAGACACTGAGCTTCGGAGGAAAGTGTGGGGGCCTCGGCACCCGTGGAAGCTGAAGGCAGTTCACATGCTCTGGCAGATTGTCATTTATATTCGCTCACCCGCCTTCGTGATTTACCATCACCTTGTACTACCACTACATCCACCATGTCTCTCAAGATCGGTATGACCCCCCCCTTTTTCTGACTATAACAGAACCCAGCTAATGAAAACAGATTCCCACCCCTCGTCCGCCGCCTTCGACGTGATCAACCAGACGCTCCAGGCCAACGAAGCCAGCCGCAAGGATGCCATCAACCAGGCCAAGGCCATCTTCGCCTTCAATCTGAAGAACGCTAGTGGTGAGGAGGCTTCTTGGTACCTTGACCTCAAGAACAAGGGCGAGGTTGGACAGGGTCTTGCTCCTGCTGGCAGCAAGGCTGATGGTGAGTCTACGTTCCTGATTTGCGGTTGATCTTACACAGGCTAATCTCTCTTCGTCAATAGTGACCCTCTCCCTCTCCGATAATGACTTCGCCCAGCTCGTTTCCGGCAAGGCCAACGCCCAGCGTCTGTTCATGGGCGGCAAGCTGAAGATTAAGGGTAACATCATGAAGGCCACCAAGATGGAGCCTATCCTGAAGAAGGCCCAGGTCGGTGCCAAGCTGTGAAGATTATATACCCGTTTGAGAAATTATATACCAAGTCCCTCATCTAGGGCGCATATTTTCGGCCTTCTATTCGGATAGTTCGGTTATTCAACTCCGAGTATAACAAATGATCTTAATATGTACCGGGGACGGATCATCGCTGTTCGGATCGATGAATTCTAACTCTACAAGTCTCGCACATGCCCTTGTCGCGAAACCCGCCCCTGATCCAAAACCACAAAGTAATCCGCATCCTTGACAGCTTCTATGCGATGCGCAATCGTAATGACAGTAGACTGCTGCAGCTCCTCCCGGATAATCTGCTGAATCTCAAGAGAAGTCTCAAGATCCACGGAAGCAGTCGCCTCATCGAGAATGACAATTGCGCTTCGACGAAGGACAGCCCGTGTCAGAGCAATAAGTTGCCGCTGACCCTGGCTAAGGTTCCTCCCTCCAGCCTCAATGTGCGTCTCAAGATTCCAGCCGTGCCGACTACAGAGACGCTCCAGGATTTCGTTGCACAGCTCATCGGAATAATCGCCTGTCGGGTCCAGATTGAGTCTGATGCTACCGGGGAAGAGAACAGGATCTTGCGCGACGAAGGTAACTCGGGTGCGCAATGCTTGTGTGCTGACGTCGGCGATATTGATGCCGTCGATGAGAATGCGACCGGACTCGGGTCTGATGACGCTCAGAAGTGACATTGCCAGTGTGGACTTGCCGCTGCCAGTACGGCCGATAACCGCTGTAGTGGATCCCCCGGGGATGCGAAGAGAGACGTTTATAAGTGAAGGATCGAGATGTGGTGCATAACGAAGAGTTGCATCTTCGAAGACAACGTCGCTACCGTAAGTTGGCCATGCGGCTGGGGGAACGATGGTCCCAGGGGTTTCTTCTTCGATGTGGAGTAACTCGTCGACTCGTTCCACCGACACAAAGTCCATTTGAAGTTGGCCATACTGCTTGCACAATGCATGTGTGGAATCGACAAAGTTGTTGGCGGCAATAAGCACAAAAGCTACAAGTCCTGGTGTGGTATTGGTATATAACGCCAGAGCTGTTAGACAAAATGTTGAGCAAGCCGACAGGCCCTCAAAGCGGTACATGAGCCAGCTCTGGAGAGACCAGTAAAAATGGTCCATTCCCTGGAATTTGTCAACCACAGATATGACCCTGTTCTGGAACTGCGATTCTGCGTGGAAAGCTCGGACAGTAGTCAGACCGTGTAATAGCTCGCCGAAGTTGGACAACAAAGGACTTAGGGACACCATTTCGAGTCGTCGTAGGGACTGAGATGTGGGGAGGAAACGCAGGAATACCGAGACAAATGCGACTGTGAGAACTAGTGAAAATAACAAAAACACTGGGGTAGCGGTGGCGATTACCAAGACAGAAGAGATCCAAGTGATAGCCTGGAACGCAATCACCTGGAATTGCTCACTAATATTGCCATCCACGACTCCAATATCAGATGTGAGACGGTTCATCAAGCGCCCAAGAGGAATTGTATCTTTAGAATTGGTTAGCTTTGTCCTGTTGAGTCAATCTATATAGAACTTACCCAAGTATCGGAAGGTCGCATGGCTGACTCGGACCAAGACCCGTCGGAACAAGGACTGCCCAGCATAATAGACGATGACCAGCATTAAAAGCTGAGCGACAAGGAGTGTGACTGCTTGGAAAGAGATGATGGCAAAAAATGTCCATAGCCAGGGTTGGACATCCTCACGCGGAGATGGTAGTTGGGCTATGGGGTTCGGAGGCGTAAAGTGTGTACCCATGCTCAAGCTCAAGACTGGCCAGGTGCTTTGCGCTGACCTCTCACTCCAGTTTGAGAGATCCCCTCGAAGAGCAGTTGTCCGCTCATACGCTTCTCCCCACCCTTTCAGGAACCATGATTGCCCGACAGCCATCAGTCGGTAGATCGCCAGGATCAGGACGAGGGTAAGCCACCATCGGTACTTTCCGGCCTTAACATAATTCCAGTACACTCGGGCCTTGACACCCCCGTCTGCCCGATGCTCTTCCTCGATGAATTTATCAGGCACGGCAGCTGTCTCCTCCTCGAGGGTGGGTTCCGCTTCCGCTTCTGTTTCGTTTTCAATGTCGATAGATTCCAGAGAAGACTCGGTCACGTCAAGCTTGAGGGTATCCTTGTCGTAGACAGTGGCATGGTTTCCACAAATATTGATAATTTGATCCGCAATTTGACGAACCAACGCAGTTCGATGCGTCACTAGAACGATAGTTCGATCTTTCATCAAAGGCCCCGAGAAGCACTTGCGGACTATCAGCTCCGCAGTATTGTGATCTAACGCAGACAAGGGATCATCCAAAAGCAGGACCCGCGATGCGCTATAGACAGCTCTTGCCAGAGCTACTCGCGCTTTTTGTCCACCTGATAAACCAATGCCATTTTCACCCACAAACGATAAATCGCCATGTTTGAACTGAGCAAGATCTGGAAGTAAGGCGCAGGCTTCTAGCGTCCGCTTGTAGCGCTGGTCGTGGTAGGGAGCGGAGAATAGAATGTTATCACGAATACTCATGCTTTGCAGCCACGGTGTCTGGGCGCAATATCCCACCATTTCGTTTGGAATATGCGCTGAGCCGGCAAGTCTATCGAGTTCTCCTAGAAGAGCTTGCAGGAAGGCGGTTTTTCCAGCACCGACCTTGCCAGTGACAACAGTCAGTCCCTTGGGGATAGTGATATTGATATCAACAAGGACGGGTGAGACCTTGCCTGGCCAGGCAAACGAACAAGACTGCATTGAGAGTGGAGTATCGTTCGCCGGGGGTTCAGAAGGCAGATTCTCCTTGTCTGGTTCGGACATGAAGTCCTCGATACGTCCAAGGGCAATGAAGGCATTGATGAATGCTGTGATAAGACCAGGAATATCCCGAAGACGAGTCTCTAGCATGGTAAACAACTGTAATGCGGGAAAGATAATATCAATCCGCAGCTCATGCCCGGCCAACAAAGTATATGCGTACAACGCAACCACTGGAAACACGCCACTGGCGAAAGCGTTGATAAAGCGAATCAAGATACTCCATAGACTAGTCACAATCCGAATATTCAACTCATGCTGTCGGGCCTCCATTACCTGCTGAAGCCAGTGATTCTGCCACCCGTACCATCGCAGGTGACGGATTGCTTCCACAAATTGCGAAGTTATTTGGAGTCTTGTATCCGTTGCCACTCGTCTAACTCGCTCCCAACGAAGAAGAGCTCTGGTTACCAGGGCATTCATGATCTGTGCAACCAGGACCGCTAATATCCCCAGGAAACAAGATGGACCAAAGAGTGTCCAGACAAGGAAGGTAGCGATCACGAGTCCTAGTGGCTTGTCAATCAACGAGTCCACCTCCCAGAATCTCTGTGCAACTTCATAAACATCTCCGCGCAAGAGGTTGAAGATTTTGCCAAGTGATGCAGCTTCTTTAGCTTGTTTCTGTGGCTCCTTTTGATTGCGAGAAGTGATACGTTGCCAGAAACCTTCCACGGTTTTGGTCGGGGGTTCACTCTCTTGAACTCCGGCCTCATCATTGACGCCATCTTGCTCGTCGGATGATACTGGATCGCCCTCAATCATCAGTCCAGAAATGTTTTTTCGCGAAAGGGCTTTTTCGTAGACCATCATGATCATTTCACCCCTCGACCGTTCATAGCATCGTCTCCCGTACCACAGAAGTAACACTTGAGACTGTGCAGCGACAAGTCGAAGAGCGAAGGACATGAAAGCATAGGTCAAAGGGACGCGTTTTGGTCGGGACGGGTCTTTCATGGCCTGCAATAGTTGCTGCAATAAAACGGGAGTAGAAAAGTCTATGAAAATTATTAGCGACATAAGATAAAAGAAGACATCTAAATCCATACCACATATCATCTGGACAAGCGATATGGTTGAGATGATTAAAACATCAATTCCATTGGCTCTCAACAGCCGGCTGAGGACAGAACCACGAAGTCGACGAAACTTTTCATGTAGACGTGCATGTTGAAAGTCAAATCCAAGGAGCCAAACATCTCGTTCATGAAGCTGTCTTTTGCGCCCAGTTGAGATCAACGGTGCCATCCAAGACACTGTGAGGAACTGCCAGAGCCTCAGATTATCTTCTGGGGTGCGAAAGTTATTTGATGGCTGTTGACCAACAGCGCTAATATCTATCGATGGCAAAGACGGTTCGCGGAATGACATTAGGAGGATTGTTGCACAGGCTGCTGCTGCTGCCCCTGCGGCAATGTAGCGAGCAACAATCTTGAATTTCGGGCATACATCTGGGTGAGTAGCCAAAGAAAGTTCAATTGTAAATGCTAGAAAATAATACGAAAGCATCGAGATGGAACATGATCTGGGCCGCTTGACTGCGACCAGAATAGATGCTGTGGCCTAAAGAGGGGTATCAGTAATTGATACTCCCAGAGACGGGAAGAACCGACCCATGAGAGAACAAGCGCAAAGGCCGAGGCGTCAATTGTCGGAGGAACAAATTGAACTGTCTCGGCTAGAAGCCCAGTAGCCGAAAATAGAAGGAGAGAGATAGTCCATTGCAATGATTGCTTGGGCTGATCTAGCGGGAGATCTTGAGTATCATGTTGCTCAGACACAAAAGGAACAGTCCACTTGGGGCGCCATCGCTGGCAGGAGTATTCAAGTATATGGCTTAATGCAATAAGCAACACTATCATGGCCGGGATACATGCTAGGTATGGCAATGCACAAGGTGATAGCCACGCATTGTGCGAGTCCTGGATTGGTCAGACGGTGCGAGCGGAAACAGGGGCCCGCGAGTTCATACCCAGAATTGGTCACACTGGGAGCTGGATGCACCTTCCAGCGGAATTTGATTCATGCTTGGTCCCAAGTGCAGTGGCAACTCTTCGCGGTAGCCTTGGGGACCTCACGAAGCAACGTGGGGCCGGATCAATATTCATCCTCGTGGCCCGTGCCATCTATACAGGCGGGTCAGAGTTTGGAATTTAGTTCTCGCCTAGAACATTATATAGAGAGTTAATAAACCGTATACTTGTTTCAATGGTGTTGCAATTAGAGCTTTTGCCTTGCAAAGCATCCTGAGTCTCTCAGGCGGCCTTACGGCTTCAATGGGCGGACTGGCGGAGTCATCCGCCGCGGGGCGGGCCGCCCATTCGCAGTCTGGATGGACCTCGTCACAAGCAAACTACATTTTTAATAAAAGCTACTAAGGCTACTAATATAGCACAGGAAAGGCTGAAGGATCTCCCCAATACCTGGCGCGTGGTACTGATTTATGGCTGAAGCAAGGCAAACTGCTGATCCTGACAACAGAAAAATGCGATATTAAAGCGGCTGCATAGCCCGCCTGAGAACTCGTGTTTTACTGTGTAATAACACAATGATCCCATGAATCTCCTGCATCAAAGAACCGTCCACGGCAAATCGCTCGATGGTCTCTATCGTGTTCTTCTGCAAAGTATCAATATCCGGTACCAAGTGGGCCAAAGCTGGACAAACAGAGCCTAGGGTCAGGAGAAGAATAGAAGAGAACATCCTAAAAGAATCAAACATTAGTTGAGGCCAAGTATGAAGTATCTCGTGGACGTACGTATGAATAATGATCTCCGCGCAAAATGACGGGCCCATCAGTCTCCGCGTTGAGGCATCCAGATACGTTCGACAATTGGCTATGCTAGACTCGCACTGTTTGAGTACCATAGGTGGAACATCATTCTCAGGCGAGGAGTCAATTGCACAAAGAAGAAATGGTCTAGTTATGATATCCTTGGCGGAGTGAAAGCGATGGAGCATATTGAGTTGAAGGCCAGTACATCGAGACGGATCGTTCATATCTGGTTTAATTGTCCGCGGTAATAAGTCAAACCAATTGTCGAGCTGTCGGGCAAGCTCTTGGGAGACATTCAGGATCGCAGAGAGCGATTGGAAGTCATACGAGGGACTGTCGCTTGAGACTGGCTGTAGACCGAGGCTGCGCCTTGTCCAGTCACTTCCGTACATAGTGTGGTGTACTCTATTTAGTAGGCGACGGATGGATAGTTCGGCGAGGAAGACGTGTGTTTCTTTGGCGTCGTTATTTGCAAAGGTTGGGAAAGGTGTCAGATCAATTACATGTTCGATACCACTTCGTGGTAAATGGTGTTCAGCTATCAGATCACTGTTATCAATATCAGCATCAACGTGATTTACCCAGATGGGACCAAGAAACCAACCACTCGGTGTCGAACGCTGCCCATGATAGCAGAATAATGCTGGATTTGAGGTCATGATTATCTGCCGAAGCTTGGCTTCTATCCCAAACAGATGCTTGATCAATAGCTGAAATCAAACGGAAGGACAAAGAGCATTAACGAACCGGCTATTTAAATACTGGATACTGGTGGAAGCCATGTGGACCAGTTTCCATGATTGCAGAGGGCGTAAAAGAAACCCAAAATATTTCGAAATGAGTATCAAACTCTGGGGAAGAGTGATCGTGGGACAAAATGACAGTAAATATTCGTTCATCAATATCTGCAACGCAGGTGAGATGAAATCTGCCCCGGGCACCCAGTATGGAGACTTGGACTTTATCGGGTCAACCTGCTCGAGAGCTGCAGAGCCTAATGCAAGAACTGCAAGGCATAGTGCAGAGTCACAGTCAACACTCAGACCGGCCCTAATATGGTGATCGTAAAGCCCCAAAAATTGGTCTTTGTCAAGGATTGGCATCTCAACGTGGACGTGTTTGAAATACGCCTCCACCAGTGGATAGGTGCTCGCTTCATCGAGGATTGGCAACTGACTCGCTGTAATTGTACCTGGAACAAAAGATAGCTGGTGTGGCATATGCCTTTTTGATTCTGCGCGTATAAACAAGTCTGGGGGAAACTCTCCGAAGAGCGCCTTTACTCTAGTCATATGCAGCATATATTCGGTTGTTGTTGTGTGACCGATGGGAATACTCATGGGTGGTATATCATGTTCAGGTGGTATGAAAGTAGACGAATTCGTACTGATAAGCTGGGAGATATCCGCCGGGTTTGGTCTTGCCGGGGACGAAATCAACATGGTAGAGGGATGAGAAAAGTCCGCTCTTTCATGCTCAGATGACGACGGGAGTGTGAAATCACCACTTCTTGTTTCACCAGTCTGGGGTGTTTGGGGGAGTCTCGGATTACTCCATAAGAAGTTCTCAATTGCATCAAGACGGCGAAAGAACTCCAAGGAGGAAGTTTCCCCTCGAGGCCTGTCGGGGTTCAGTAACGATGGCGAAACCTGAAGAATACGGGTGTCTCACCTCGCAGTATCAGCTTCATTATAAACACAATCAATACCTGAATCCTCACAGAGGCTGCAAGAGGGTACCGCACCATTGCAGCGGCGTTTCCTGCTTGTCTATCAGCATGAGGAAACTTGGTCATAGGAGTAAGGGGAACCTACCGCCTGCGACAATAGTTGCATGCCAAAGAAGCACGCTTACGACCAGTTTCCATGTAGCAAATGGTATGGGCTTCAAGGCTTAAAGCCACCTAGATGAACCGTGTTGGCGTTGATGTCGATACAAGGCGGGAAACTCCGCCGGGAACCCGCTTCCACCCGTGAACAGATTTTGTCCCGCCTTAGTCATCGACACTTCCGCCCGCTCGCCCAGCCCTGGGCAAAGCTTACGATAGAAGAAAGATAACTTTAATCTTATTTAATGCTTAACAGCTCATCAGCCCTTCCAATATTGTTTTTCGTTCTCTCCTCTTTTATTTACTGGGGAAAATCTCTCTTCGACCTGGACATCTCCATCTCCATATCCCTTTGCAGTACGGAGAACGGAGGACACAACGCCCCTTGCCAAGAACACCAACCCACACCAAGGCCGTTTACCAGTCTTCTTTGGCTTGGTTCCTTAGGTATATACTATTGTACAATTAGGCTGACACCTAATCAAGATCTTTGTGTTCAAGGTCATTACTTGTTAAATTCAAATTATCTGAAGCCGTAGACATGGCCGCGTTTAATAATGAGATTCAAAGTTGTTTCGGGCCGATCTTCGGGAAACTCTCGGCTCCACCCGAGTTCCCCGGCTTTCAGAGATTTTTTAGGGCTTGATCGAGATCGGGATTACCCGATTCTTTTCAGTCTTTGAAACATATTGAGAGATATTAAAGTTAGAGTCTAAAGTCTCGACTAAGTCGCGTGGAAAAACCACCATGTCGGACGAAAAGTATGTTGCGGACAGCAAGATCGAGAGACCACTCGAAAAAGACGTGGAGAAAAAATTGGACGCGACGCAATTGGAGCCCTTCGGAAATGAGGACACAGCGGACGTCAAGTATCGGACTATGAAATGGTGGTGAGTTTTTATTTCCTGCATAAAGATTGTGAAATCGATCATGGACATGGCTAATCAAGCTGAAAAGGCACTGTGGAATGCGTGAGTAGCTAAATTTGAGATCAAAAGCTTGGCTCCTAACATCAATTTCAGTCATGATCGCAGAGAATGTTTCTGTCGGAATTCTGTCTTTGCCATCCGCAGTGGCTACCCTTGGAATGGTTCCGTATGTATTCTCTTCGACAGCTTCGAAATCCCATGACTAACAATGTTAAACAGCGCTGCTATCATGATTTTGTTCGTCTCTGCTCTTTCATGGTATACCGGCTACGTCATTGGCCAATTCAAATTTCGCCATCCCGCAGTTCACAGCATGGGAGATGCCGGCGAGATCTTGATGGGTCCTTTCGGCCGTGAGTTGCTAGGACTTGGCCAGCTGCTGCTGTTGATCTTCCTCATGGCGAGCAACATTTTGATGTTCAACATTCTGATGAATGTATTGACCGATCACGGTACCTGCACGTTGGTGTTTGGTGTCGTTGGACTGGTCATCTGCTTTTTGGGTGCCTTGCCTCGTACCATGGACAAGGTCTACTGGATGTCCGTCATTTGTGAGTGCAGTCATGACACTGTTCAACTCAGATGAGAACTCAACTAACGTGTATGAAGCATTCTTGAGTGTCTTCGTTGCGACAGTGTTGACCATGATCACCGTGGGAGTCGAGAGCAAAGGACATGTCAAGAACGAAGCGACAACGGATGTCAGCTTCCGCGAAGGCTTTTTGGCGGTGACAAACATCATCTTCGCTTACCGTATGTTAAACAGTGAAACGCCAAATGATGACGGTCACCAGCACTTGAAATAAACCGAGCTAATCCAGAGACCGATCTTATAGTCGCCCACGTTGCGTACTTTGGCTTCATGTCTGAAACAGAAGACCCACGTACGTTCAACAAGTCACTCGCCATGCTTCAAATCATCGACACCACCCTGTACCTTGTTAGTGCACTGCTCATCTATCATTACGTGGGACCGGAGACAGCCACCAGCGTCGGCGTGCAATCGCCTGCCATTCTCTCTCTAAGCCCGTTGATGGGCAAGATTGCCTGGGGTCTTTCAATTCCAACGGTGAGTTTATTCTTTTGGTTCGTCTTCTGTATCCCACTTACTGATTCAATACAGACAATTCTTTCCGGAGTTGTCTTGGGTCACGTCGCGTGCAAATACATCTATGTGCGTATGTTCCGTGGGTCAGACAAGATGCATGGCCGAACCTTCCTGTCGATTGGGTCCTGGGTCGGTATCTGTCTCGCAGTCTGGGTTGTTGCCTGGGTCGTGGCAGAATCTATTCCCGTGTTCAATGATCTGCTGAGTCTGATTGTAAGTTTATCGAATCTCACTCGACCGGGAACGTTTGCTGATGTGGAGATTACAGAGTGCGGTCTTTGGAAGTTGGTTCAGCTGTAAGATTGGCCCCCCTTTCCATCATTGAATTTCTCAAGATCTGAACAAGTGCTGACGTATCATTAGTCGGACTCCCGGCGATCTTTTGGTTCTATATGAATAAGGGCCGTTACTTTCAGAACTGGAAGAAGACTGTTTTGACGATTACCAATATTTTGGTCTTGGCTATTGCCTTTGCTATTGTAGGTATGCCCCTACTTATATCCAGTTATGGTGGCTAATCCTTTCCAGTGCGGGTTGGGACTATGGGTGTCAGGAGTCGCCATTCACGAAGACTCCAGTTCCAAAAGTTGGTCTTGTGCCAATAATGCGTGATTGGAGAGTTGAAGTTTGACGTATTCGAATACTAACAGAGCCAGACTCTGCCGAGTCTGCACATGGCATGTCGGTTAATCTGCAACTGGTTGGCCACAGACTCGAAGAAAAATCGTTGGCGATGGCGGATTGTCATCTGAAAGCCATCGCCCCGTGAATAGGACGAACCAACACGAACTCAGACATTATGGCTCCAATATCAACAGACGTGATTTGAGATGGGATATGCAGAATCACGGCCTTGGCGGTAGAAAGCAATTGTGCGTAGAGTGGCCGTTGCACCAGGACGAGCGCGCGATTGGATGAGGCAAGCTCTTTCTAACCAGAATCTAACGAGGCCGGAGACTCGCACAATCGTAGTCGAATTCATGGTCAAACCTGTTTCTGTGTCAATTTTTGGCAGCCGATCGAACAGGCTCAGGGGAGGAAGGGGATGTTGTAATTAAGAGGAATTATTTCCGAGCGGCCTCCTTATCTCATGAGAAAGAACCTCAAATATACCAATGTACTTGGCAATCTCAATACCCTCAGACAGCGTACTTTAGTGGATGTCCATGTCTCCGCTCAGATGGCAAAGGAAAATCCCCGACTCCCCCGCTTTGGCGGAAGTGTCCCGCCTCCCATCCGCCTTTCCCCACTTGACATTGTATCGGTGTGTTACTTCCCCGCCAGCGTCAGAATTATTATTCTCACAGAGCTCGCTACTTCAAACTTGCTGCTGGTAGTGGTCGTCAAGGGCGGTATACTCATGCTCCACATAGTTTCCACTCCTTGTTACATCCTCTGCGCCCAGTGTGAAGTGTCTTGTCTTGGAATTTAGCCTTACAGAATCAATATGCCTACCAACACCTCAGCAGGAGCGTGTGAGGACCAGCGTGCCTCTCTGATTTCCCGAGTCCTTCCTAGAATGACTATGTCGGAGGGATCAAGTCCGCTCACTCGCCCCCTCGCTCCAGTGCCCTTTACAGATGGTCGCTCACGAGCAGAAGCACGATTTCAAGTTCAGGGCAAAGCCATATTCACCGGCGGAGCAGGAGGACTAGGCCTAGTCTCTGCACAGGCTCTCCTGGAACATGGACTCTCCTCACTATGTATCATGGATCTCCCCAGTACCTTGGAGACGTCATCAGAACAAATTCAATCACTAGCATCAAAGTTCCCCTCTGCCAATATAACCAAAATTCCCCTGGACGTGACATCAATGGAGTCAATCGAAGCCGCATTTGAACAAGCAAACAAGACAATGGAAGGCATCGACATCCTCTGCTGCTTCGCTGGGATCCCCGGCTGCCAACCATCCCTCTCAGTAACACCCGACCAGTTCAACAGAGTTATAGACGTCAACCTAACTGGATCCTTTTTCTGCGCCCAGGCAGCAGCAAAGCGCATGGAATCCTCAGGCAAAGGCGGGTGTATCTTATTCACTGCGTCGATATCCGCCCATCTTACCAATTTCCCGCAGCCGCAGGCGGCTTACAATGCGAGCAAGGCTGGGGTCGCGCATATGACTCGCAGTCTGGCTGCTGAGTGGGCTGTTCATGGTATCAGAGTAAATAGTATTAGTCCCGGGTATATGGATACTATTCTTAATGCTGGGGACAGTTTGGCGGACGTTAGGAAGATTTGGGATTCTCGTTGTCCGATGGGCCGGATGGGAGACCCTGAAGAGATTACTGGGGCTGCAGTTCTTCTGTGTAGTCATCGTGCAGGACGGTACATCACTGGTGCTGATATTGCTGTTGATGGGGGGACTTTGGCTCTGTGACAATATGGTAGGGAAGTTGCATCGTATGCTAGCTGCTTTCCCCTCCTGTCATTGGTTCCGCTTGTCTTTTCTCAGTCTGCATCGTGGGTGTGCTTCTCAAGATTTGTCTGCTTACTTCTACTTCTCAAATCAGTTTCAGAAAAGTAGTGTTTCTTCAAGAATTGTTCATTGTGTCTTTTTAAATACAGAAAAGACCGCACAGCAGCTTTTTCCACTCCTCTTTACCGGCAGATGTAACCTCCATCAATGCGCAGATCGGCACCAGTAGTGTAAGTACTAGCATCACTGGCAAAGTACACATACGCCGCCTTCAACTCCTTAGGATCACTCTGGCGACCCATAGGAATCATCTTATTCCAACCCTCCTGAATATCAGCAGGCACAAAGTCTCCCAAACCGGTATTAATGTATCCAGGCGAGATACTGTTGACACGAGCGAAATCCCTCCACTCATTCGCCAGCGAGCGAGCCATGTGGATACACCCAGCCTTAGCGACATTGTACGAAGTCTGCTCCTGAGGGTAATTGACAATGTGGCCGGACATCGAAGCAGTAATCACAAAGCTTCCCTTGCCGCGCTCCTTGAAATGGGGGCCAACAGCCTTCGCACAGTAAAAGACCGAGTTGAGATCGGCCTGGATGACATCGTCCCAGTCCTGAACCGAGCCCTCGAGAACACCCTTATCGGCAGTACGGCCCGCGTTCGCGATAAAGGAGTCGATCCTGCCAAAGTCGGTGATCACGTTTTTGACCAGCTCTTGCACTTCGTCCCATTTGCCTGTGTCGCATTTGTAGGCCTTGGCTTTGACTCCGAACTCCTCTTGCAGGGCTTTGACGTTTGCTTCGGCGCCCTCGGCTCGCGATAAGTATGTGATGGCGATGTTACCGCCCATTTCGGCACAGCCCCGGGCGGCTTCGTAGCCGATTCCTCGGGGGCCGGAGGCGCCGGTCACGACCACGACCTTGTCTTTGAGACTGAAGAGGTCTTTGAGAGAGCTGGCTTGAGGGACTTCGATAGGCATGGTGGGCGAGAAAAGGGAGGAGTTGAATAGGTGTATAGAAGGAAAGGTGGAATTATTTGAGAATTATTGGTTTGTGTGGAGGATTGAGGGGTTATAGAAGGAATCTATGGGGTCTTTATACCTTTTAATCGTTGATGGGGACTCGGGTCCAACCTTCCCACCGTACAACTGTGCAACTTGTTTCGCTCTCACTTGAGATGTTGTCCTTCTCCACCCGGCGGGACACTCGGCGGCACAATCCCGCCAGCATTTCTGTGGGCACTTTGGAGGGGCGGATCTCTCAAATTATTTCTCATTTTGGTAGATAAGATAAATTTAGAAAATAGCAAACGCATTAGGCGGGCTAGCAACACCCCCAATGACCTAGACCGAGTCTGAATCAGCACAATCCCCACACAGCCAATAAGCGGGAAACCAACCTTCAAAGGCATACTGGACAAGAAAAAGCTATAACGTCCACTAGCCTTGCAATGCTCCGATAACTTCTCCAAATCAAACATCTCCCCAATAGGAGTTCCCCAGCCCGCCAGCACCCACTCATGTAAATTGAAATTCGGGTCCGCATGGGCACCTCTGATAGGCGCACGCTCAAAGCTCGGCGCATCACCAGCGACAGCAGAGAATTGATGCGCCCATAGCCATCGTACCATACTCTCCGTCGCCTCGACACCGCTAAAATCGGGCGACGATCGGAGGGCTAGGTCCTTGCGCTGCTGGTCGTCCAGCTTGTTGTATGCAGCCGTGAAGCCACTGCGGATAAATAGAATGTCACCCTTTTGGAAGTTGAGGTTGTGATCTTTGACTACTCGTTTCAGGTTTTCGACGGTAATGGTCTCGGATTTGAGGGCGGAGATGGGGATTGAGTTTGTGGTGGCCCATTCTGCGTAGTCAAGGAGGACGCCGCGACCTGTTATTCCACCGTGTTCACATATGGCTGAGGGGTTGAGATTAGTACGGGGTTAATCATGTACCTTGAGGTGGTTCATACAGTGGATTCCAATGATATCCGAGCTCTCTATCTCTTCCGTGGTATGTCCGTTATAAAACTGCCTGGACTTCTGGTTTGCTAGATTCGCCAACCAATAAGCAACGATCTCAGACGCCATAGACGCTCAATAACATACCGTAGTGTCTAAATCCATCCCATTGGGTAGACCCCTGGCTATTGAATGCCAGGGTGTCATCATGAATACAATTTGGACTCCGAAGAATAAGGTCGTGCTTGAATGGATTGCGATTGAAGCTTGGATACGAAGGCATGCTCAACGGCCAGTCAAGAGAGATTCGCACGCCAGTTTTGATTTCCTTGGCGGCTTCGACAACCCGCTCGGGGGTGAGCAGATTCAATGTCCCAAGTTGGTCATCTTGTCCAAATCGACCCCAGGCATTTCCTCGTGGGCCTGTTGGGTCTAGTGGAAGGGAATCAAACGAGATTATTGCGTCTTCAGTTGATTTCGTCATGGTGAACGGGTTCGTAAGAGGAAAAAGAGGCTGAAGGTGTATATATGCTGTTGTTATACGAACGGGTATGGCTTTAGCTCTTTGATGAAGGTGCTCTCGTTCTCACTTGGTAAATATCAACGTAGGCTCAGTGGCCAGATGGAAGAGGCGAACATTAAATACCAGCGTACAATAGCTCAATGTCAAGGAAAATTGCATACTCGGATATGAATCCGCGTGTGGGGGAAGCTCATAGACCTCGGGATGAGCGGGGTCTACGGGGTCACCCCGGAATGGACAGCTCGGGAGCTCGGGGAAATACCGTTTTTTTAACAACTAGTTACAATCAATACTGCAAATTTACTCAGAAGTATTAAAGAACTTGAGGCTTCGTTGATTTCTCGTTCCCGTGACATCAATTGCTAAATCAGCACATGAGAGCCAATCTAGTACTGGATACTGCATCTCTCGAATTGACACTACTATATCCGTTGGGGTCATCACCTTCCCTTCCACGTGATGAAGACAAACAAACGTATATGTTGGGTGTTTGCATCACTGTGCTGATAAATAAGATCAGCGCTGTCACTCCCCTACGGAATACCCATCTGCCAGCTACCCGATGATGAGCGACGATGAAGACGTCATTTGAAATCCCGTTCTTTGCGACTGAATTGCCTTGCCCGCTACCCACCGGTACTGAAATCGAGAATGCCCCGGACATATCCATGCGACATGGAGAGCGAAGAATAGTCGGAGTAGGCCAGCATTTTGTTGTGAAATTCGGACTGGGTGTCGATCTCATTGAAGGAGAAAATATGTTATTTGTTTAGCAGAATACAAACATCCCTGTCCCACGAGTCTTCGCCCTCTATTCAGATCCAGAGACAGGCAAAAACTTCATTATCATAGAGCGTATTCTCGGTCAAACACTTCTTTTAGTATGGCCGCAACTTATAACATTAGAGAAAGAGGAAATACTAAAAGACCTGCGGGGATACTTTGACGACTCACGCTAGCTTCTATCCCCAGAATACTTTAGCAGTCTCGACCAAAGACGGCTTCTGGATGAGATATTTTGGATATAGGAGCCAGATCCATTAGTGAATGGTCCTTTTAACTCTGAAGACAATCTCAACGAAGCAATGCTGCGAAAGTATACCTACAACGGAGGCCCGCACTATAGAGCAGAATATCTTCGGAAATACTTTCCTTTTATTTTTAAGGGCAACAAGGCGACATTTACCCATAGTGATTTACAAAGAAAGAACATTATGTTGTGCGAGAAACCTCATCGAGACCAAGAAGGGGGACGCGTCGTGATGATTTATTGGGAAAAATCCGGATGGTATCCAGGGTATTGGGAATATTACTTAGCTGCCTGTGCTTTACGATGGGATGACGACTGGTCCCTTTGGATTGACAGTATCCTATCACCGTGTGTCTCCGAGGCTGCATACTTCCAGTCACTACGCCTTGAATTATGGTCATAGAGGATCTTCGAGGTCATTTTGTTTAGCGAGGATGTGATCGATATTTCGACTGGAATTCTTACATTGGGCATAATAATGTGAAGTAGAAGTAGAATTTGAGGGTTGTAATTATAGTCTAGTATCAAAATGGTAATAAGTTCACTTGTAAAGAGAGAGAAAATATAGATGTTGGAAAAGAGGGGCTGGAGAACCCCTTCATGCAGGATATATAAGGGGCACATGCGATTCCCACTGCTACTTTGTCACCCTATCGTAAAATGAGCCGTAGAAAGGTATATATGTTGCGAGTGCCTTTCTTGAATTACTCTAAGTCTCGTTATATCCGGCCTCTTATTCTCACCCCGTTTGAATCCTCCTGCTCCAACCCCAATCGCGCACAACCCTTCTCGGGGCGTGCAATGGACCAGGCAACGGTACATGGTAAGACCATTTGGCAATCATGTAATTCGCTTCTAATACGGACTTAGGGGTTGATCCTCACGCGTATACAAGTGGCCGGTGGCTTCGAAACGATAGGCATCAACGCCAGATACGCCATGTTGATATCAATTTTGACGAACTCTGCCGAAGAGTAATGGAATTATCCAGCGGAGCCAAATTGATCACAAATTGCGACAAACAGGAAGGCGGTTTCAACAGGGTGTTCATTTTCACCATGGACGACCATTCACGCGTTGTGGCGCGACTGCCTTTCGCATTAGCTGGCCCCGCGAAATTAGCCACGGCTTCTGAAGTGGCGACTATCCAATATTGTGGGTTAGACAACTATTCGAATGGAAGATTTGAATTGCTAATGATATGTGCGATATAGTACAGAGCAATACCAGTATTCCAATCCCTAAAATACTTGACTGGAGCGACGACGCGTCGAACAGTGTTGGAAGCGAATATATTATCATGGAACATGCGGCAGGAGTTCAGTTACAACAGAAGTGGCCCTATATGTCAGGCGATCAGAAGGTTCGATGTATAGATGCCATCTACAGAAAGCTTAAAGAGATGGCCGACATTGACTTTCCAGCCTATGGAAGCTTATATCTTTCCGCCACTTCATTGGGATCTTTCTCTGGGTTACCACTAAATGGCGGCTTTCGCCTCGGACCCCACTGTGGAACAAGATATTGGGATTGTGGCGAGCGCAGATACTACCAGCATACACTTCCCAATCAAGGCCCTTGTGAGTCTCTTCTAACCCATTCTTCAAAAGATGACGGCTAAAATTTGAGGGTGAAGGGTTGACCATGAAGGGATACTCTGATGGCCTTGTGGATGCAGGTCTTTCAAGAGTTCCACTGAAAGACTCCCAGCTCCCAAATCGACCATTCTATCATGGCTCAGTTCAGTCACATTTCGACCTTCTCGAACGGGGTCGTATAGTGCTCCATTCGATGTCTGCAAATACCCAACTACATGATGCAGCTGCGCCGACCCTCTTTCACCCCGACCTGCATAAGAGGAACATATTTGTTTCGGATGATGATCCCTCGATTATAACTGGCATTATTGATTGGCAGTCATCCAGCATAGAGCCAGCCTTCTGGTATGCGGATGAGGTTCCGGACTTTGCAATTTGTTCGCCTTCCCCCGAATCGTCTTCTGGGAATCTAAACAACAGCGAGCTATGCAGAAAAACCTTCGAAGTCTGTACTCAATTCCTCACCCCAAAGCTCGCCCTCCCTAGGATGATGGATGAAGGCATGTTCCGACCGTTTAGGTACTGCTACAGAACGTGGAAAGATGGCGCTGTTGCTTTCAGGCAGGAGCTCATTGAAACTTCCAGGGACTGGGAGGCGCTAGGACTCGTCGGCTCGTGTCCATTTGTTTTACCGAGACCGGAAGAACTGACTGTTCATCGGAAGGAATACAAATGCTTTGAGGCGGCCCAGAACCTAAAGCGTGATTTGTCAAGCTTGCTTGATTGTGCGTCTGATGGATGGGTTCCTCCAGAGATTTGGGAAGAGGCAAAAGTACAAAACAAGGCAATGTTCGATGGGATGTTGCAAGCTGTTCTGACAAATGAAGATCCCGACGAGGATGAACCAATTAGGGATGAAAAGGACCTGAGAGATATCTGGCCCTTTGATTTGCCGGACGAGTAATTGGTCTTATCTCTCATTAAGTTCCATAATGGCCTAGATATTCTAGACGGGGTTGCCCTAACACTCTTTGAAGACATGCATTATGCGCCTCCTACGGAGATTCAAGCTAAGGAAATTCTTAAAATCAGAGCTGTGTATCATTAAAGCTCAAACGCCTTGAGGGTCATGGATCTTGGTAACTAGTCCAATTTACACCACTGAAACTGCATATGTACTGGATGATCTTCGGCACTCACGACCTTTCCCCTTCCATAAAGCTAAATGCCCTAGAAAGTGAAGTACGCAATAGTAGCAGCGAACGTAGCCAGATTGTCGCCAACCGTCGCCAACGCAGTACCATCCTTCACAATCATATAGCTTGTCCCAACAGTGTTTAACCCATACACCACCAGTCCACTTGTACTGCCCTCAACGCTGAAGATCATACTTTGGCAATCCTCTGGAAGGGGGAATGTGGAGCAAGTGGTGCTGTAGTTGTTGAAAAAGCTGTATAGCCCAGCCCCGTAGACAATCACATCCTTGGTATTGAGAATCCGAAGACCAAAAGAGTCGCAGTTTCCGCCGAGACAGCTGCTATAGTCAGGGTCATTGAGAGCCGAGTTGGTAGGGTACGGGCCGTTGGCTGCATTGGGATTTGGTTGATAGTATCTGCATGCAATTGGTTAGGACAGGAGATGAAAGGGCAGCAGCACGTGTTGGATCACTCACGGAGTTTCTGTCTGTATGAACCCTGCCACAATTGAACTCGCGCCTGAGAACTGATACTGATACAGCGAGTGATGCTCGGAGGCCGTTCCGTATCTTGCGCCTATGTTAGTTATGAGAGAGCATTGTGAGGATTATCTGTCACTTACAACCAGACATTATTTCCTTCTACCAAGAGACCGCGACCGGTATAGACCGAGATTTGGGTATTAGTAGCGCTCTCAAGGTCATGGTCGGCGGTCCAAAGCCAGACATTCTCCAAGTAAACACCACTGGCGACTTTGGTAATGTGCATGGACATGTAACCAACCTCACAGGCTGCCGAGACAGCTGCAGTCGTCGGGCACTGAGCAACCTGCTGCTGAGATCCTTGGAAGCCCCCGATTCGAGTGTGAACATCCCACATCCCAGCGCCTGATGTCGCTGCCAAGTTCCACTCAATGAGTACAGCGCCCGGCGTGGAGCCCGCGGTGCTCACTATCATGTCAGACCATTCAACGAACCCAGATTCTCCAGATTTGCCAATTTGAACCACCGCAACGGGATTGGTAATGCTCGACCATACACTGCCAGTCGCCATGATGACAGGATATGCCTCTCCGACAATCCGAGAGCCCGGTGGGACGTAAATAGTGCCGGTGACTTTGTACGTTCCTTGATCGAAGAACACAATCTTACCTGCAGATGCGGCAGACGTCAGCGCAGACTGAATGGCTGTCGTGTCATCAGTTGAACCATCTCCCCTGGCGCCTGCACTTCTAATGCTGACAAACGAAGCTACTGGTGATTGCTCATACTGAGGCTTGGACTTGGTAAAATATCTGTTCGATCCACCAGCAAGCAAAGCGCTAGGACGTGTCGGTGCAGCAAAAGAGCCCTGGAAGTTGGTCGGTCCGTTTGGAGTATACTTGTGGCCTTGTCCCCAAGCAGCAATGGTCGTAGAACCCCCCGAGCCAGCAAGAACAGTACCGCTGACGCCTTTGACTGCAACCGGGACGTTGTTCAGAATTATGTTCTCCAGAATGAGACTTCCAGTTGATAGTGTGGAAGTCTGCCAAGCGGTATCGACAAAGGTAGGGCAGTTTTGGATGGTGCTGTCAAGGATATTGACCGAGCCAACGAGTTGGGCCCCAGCACCACCATTGCTGATCGAAATAGCAGTTGTGCAGTTAGACAAAGACAGACCTTGATAAGTCCACCCCCAGTTCCAGATCTGAGAAATTGCGGTCACTGAATTTGAAATGGCCAGGTTCCGCATTGTGAATTGCTGGTTGCCAATATTGGCACCATAGAGGCCACCAGTAATTACCACATCGGTCAACCAGCCACCAGAGCCTGGTATTGGATTAGTATAGACCTAAAAAAAAATAAAGTAGCAACATACCATTCTCAATGAAAATACCCTGGTGCTGTGTTCCAGAAGCAGAACTCATAGCAATGACAACGTTCTCGATGCTGGAAGCTTGGCCAGTCGGCCAATGAATACCAGTCGCAGCAGTACCGGCAGGGATTGAGGTCAAGTCCAATTTCAAATTGCGAACCTGTCTGAAGAACACATTCGTCGACGTCCAGCCCTGGTTTCCATCGCTCTGGTATTGGTCACCGTCAACCAGCCCCAGTCCGACAAAACCTGCGGTTGCTTTTATAACAGGCATTGCATTCGGGTTGCCAATCAGCTGGGTGAAATAGTAATCAATAATCGACGATGAGATCAGGTACGTTCCCGATGGGAAGTAGACTATCGCAGGAGTCGTGGTCGAGGATTGTCTGCTTGCCGGGCCAAACCGACCACCGGCGCTTATGGCCGCATTGATCGCGGCCGTATCGTCGGTCACACCATCACCTATGCTTACCTTAGTGCGTCTCGGGGTAGTAGCGATCCTTCAATGCTCACCTATAGCTCCGTAGTCTTTCACGTTTCGGAAGACTTGGTAGCCAGAAGGGTTCGAGTTGAAGGCTGCGACTCCTTGGTGGGCGATGTCTGCTAGCCAGTACGCAGTGTCTGCTGCTGCCACTGCTGCAACAGGAGAGTTGACCACGGCGACCTTGGTCTCGAAGCTTACAGCAGCCGAGGCGGTCTTTGTTGAAACACCGAAGGAAGTATACTGCTCAAAAGGGAGCATGGCAGAGCTGACTATAGAATTCACAGCGGGGATCTCTAGTAGCTGTGCATTGGCACAAGCCACCAAAGAGAAATACTTGATCACAAAAGAATAATACATCTTGACCCTGAATCATTGAAGAGGTAAGTTGGCGAGGCAGGTGCTTTCGATTCACGGGCTATGGAAGCATGGGCAACAGAAGCCGGGGAAAACGTGGTTTATGTATGTATAGCGACCTGGGCGATGCTGACAGTAGACACAATCGGATAATGCAGGCATGCGCATGACAGCAAAGGGGTAGAGTCAATGACCCTGTATCTTCAGCCGTAAGAAAAGCAAATTAAGGAATCCCACCCCGAAATACCACTCAAGACGGGGAAATAGATAGCGAGTGACTGCAGACCAGGGATATCCATTGGCTATTTATTTCCGAGGAGGTCAATTTTCCCGTCATGCCCTGTTCTCTGTTTCATGTCCTGGAGGTGCCCTAGTGGAAATGAGAATGTGAATAAATGGCGCAGATCTTTTCCCTACAAGAGATGAAGTACCCTGCCTCTACCTGCATGTCAGCCAATAGCCAATCGATGTCTACACATCATAGATCCCGAGCTAAACTGTGAGTTTGGCGCAGGTGTTTCCTGATGAGAATGGAATGTGGCTAGTTGAGAATTCCACCTTTCGGAGTATGTGATATGTGATATGTGACTTATGGGTGTGTGTGACCGGTTGGTCAGAGTCTAATCATTCAGGGATTTATGCTCATAACCTTTCTTGGGATTCAAAGTGTCCTAAATTTGACTAACTTAAATGAAATTAAGGTCAGCAGACCCATGGAACGCCATGCTTTAAGTGCGGGGAGACGAGACCGAAGGCTCAAGTACTTCCATCTTATAGGTCACACTCACCTTCGTTCCCCTTGACTCGAACATTGTGATACTCAAGTGGCAGACTTAGATAGGTCGGGTTTTCCGGTCACCCGCAAGGCGTACAGCCCACTGAGTGATTCTTAGCCTCTTGTGTTCTCAGAGTGTACACATACATCACGCAGAGTCCCTTTGTATACTTGCTCGGCGGTGCGGAACATCAGGAGGTACTTGAACCCACTGGCTAGAATTGTTATATGCATAGTTTCAGACTCTGCTTGATATAAAAGAATCCATCATGCTCTTTTCGGGCTTCAGTGTGCCTTGTAATATTGGTGGAACGGATCTTTCTTCCGCTAGTCAACGTCGGCGACATCACGAAGTGAGCGTGGCTTCGATTTGAGCATAGAAATATCCCCCTGTGCTGTCAATTCATTTGCTAGAAAATGGGCCGATCTCATTCGAGAAAATCATGACAATCGTATTACATCCCCTTTGTCCAATGCAGGCAGACAATAGTTTGTAAAGTCGGACCTTGGCTGCCAAGAAATACCACGTGACTCGTTCTTGTCCGCCTTGGATGCTTCCTGCAAAAAAAAAAATATTATAGTCGTGCCTCCTCCATTATTGTATTGTTGGACATCTCAAGATTCGAAGACAAATATCATCACTGACAGCAATACACCATCGATCTGTCTTCGACCTTACTTTCGCCAACTCGAGAGCTCCTTCGTCCTGCTGACAGCTTCCTGCGCGACAGATCGCGAACGTGTCACGGAACCGCGAATACCACCGGACAACCACATCGAAGACGCTAGAGACAAATGGGTTTCGCTCTCTCCGCGATTGACAATATCTAAGTGGAGGATAACAATCATCAAAGCTGTTACTCTTTCGAGTCGGTGTGGAGTTGGAAGAGCCTCGCCGTACACGGAAAGCTCCCTACTTCGATTGCCGCCAGTGAGGGAACTCATCACGGCGCCATACCGAGGTCCACTCTTGCATCAAGCTTGATTCACGTCTTTAACCCTGGTCACCTAGATTCCGAAGGTTACGATACGAGGCGGTTCGAGCTTACAATCATACAACCAACAGTGGTCTTCATACACTCAATATGTTGAAACGTGGAGCTCAAGGCCCTCAGGGGTCCAAGGAAGACGAGGGTGCTTTCGGAATGGCCAGCACCCCGGATGACAAGCCCCACCGAGCCACAGCGGCCCAGTTAGCCAGTAGAAAGTAAGTGATAACTCAGGTAGCGTTTGGATGACCACAAACTGACCAAAGATCTCTTTGCAACCTTTAGGATCAAGAATGTTCGCTCACGCCGGGCTCCTACTCCCACAACCGGTGGAGGCGCATCTGATGCGGCTTCGTTCAACCCTTTCGCATCCGCGGCCCCGGCGCCAGCGCCTACCCAGACTGGGTTCACATTCGGCCAGACTCAGAGCCAGAGCTTCCCTGGGACAAACTCGGGCCCCGGCCAGGGTGGAATCTTCTCATCAGGCACTAACGGCCAGGCCGGTGGTCAGGCGTCTTTCAACTTCGGCTCGGGCCCTACCTCATTTGGATCTGCACCGTCGAGCAATCCTTTTTCTGTAGACACATCATTTGGCGGAACTACCCAGTCAAGTACCAATGGATTCAGCTTTGGGGGATTCAACGCCGGAAACCAGGCCACTCCGTCGTTCGGTGGGTTCGGAGCGCAGCAGAACACAAGCACTCCAGCAAAGCCCGTCCTATTTGGGCAGTCTACAACACATATGACTTCGCCTGCCGATGAGAACATGCAAACTTCGCCCGATAACAAGCCCAAGAGAGCTTCCATCTTTTCACAGAAGCCAGCTGCACCTGAGAAACCTGCCGACAAACCTGCGGAGACCCAGCCTTTCAAACCGCTTTTCGGATCAACGCCCGCCGCTTCGAAGCCTTTCGGTGCAGAGAAACCACAGCAAACATTCAACAATCCATTTGCGAACCTTCCAGGGCAGAATGCGTCCAGCAATTTATTTGCACCAAAGACAGCTACACCTGAGAAACCTGTCGAGAAGCCTGCGGAGACCCAGCCTTTCAAGCCGCTTTTCGGATCAACGCCCGCCGCTTCGAAGCCTTTCGGTGCAGAGAAACAGCAGCAAACATTCAACAATCCATTTGCGAACATTCCAGGGCAGGCTCCAACCAGCAGCACTAACCTGTTTGCCCCGAAAATAACGGCAGCTGAGCAAACTCCTGCGAAGCCTGCTGAGGCGGCAATGCCCTTTGGTACTCTTTTCGGGTCGACCTCCAGCTCCCAACCCTCGGGGCCTGCTAGCAATCTATTTGCGCCCAAGCCAGCGGCAGAAGAACCAAAGGCGAGCAATCCATTTGCGAACATTCCAGTGCCGAGTTCATTAGGCAATTTGTCCTCACCGAAGGTTACTGAGAAAACTACCGAAGCACAACCGTTCAAGCCTCTGTTCGGTACACCTACGACATCGAAAGCTGTGGAGACTGGAACGCCTGCACCAGCATCTGGCAATTTGTTCTCCCCAAAGCCGGTCGCCGAGAATGCGGCTGCAAAGCCTGCAGCAGATCAGCCGTTCAAGTCCATGTTTGGTACACCTGCGGTGTCGAAAGCCTCGGAAGCCGGGAAAGAACAGACTGCTTCACCTGCATTTGGTAATATGTTCTCGCCAAAGCCGGTTGTTGATAGTACGGCTGGAAATCTATCCGAGGGCAAGCCGTTCAATTCCATGTTTGGAACGCCTACAAAGGCTGAAAAAGAACAATCAGCGGCAAGCAGCGTTTTTACACCGAAGGTGACAAGTGAAGCGCAGACTCCTGTACCTGCAAAGACCTCACAATTCGGCTCAATTTTCGGGGCGTCTCCTGCGTCGAAGCTTGGAAAAGAAAAGACAGCCCAGGCAACACCTAGCAACCCATTCGCGAACCTTCCAGGGCAGAACGCATTCAGCAATCCATTCTCGCCAAAGCCGGCAGAGCAGGCTGCAAAGGCCCAAGCACCGAGTACATCTCTCTTTGGTGCAAGTACGGCAATTGACAACAATAAGCAGAATAAGGACATTGAGGGTAATAAAGACAATAAGGTCGCAGCTCTGAATAGCCCATTGACCAACTCATTCACCCCGGGGCCTAAGGTGTCGAACGGATCCCAAACGGAAGGTGCGACGACTGCCACCCCTCGTGTGTCGTTCGCGCACTTTTCACATGACAACAAAAATTCGTCGTCTATACCTGTTCCTTCTTCTTCCACCTCTTCTCTGCCCTCCTCCTCCACAACCTCTGCTGTTCCCAACACTTTCACTGCTTCAGACCCTGACAGTCTTTTCCCACCAACTGATCATCCTGTATCTTTGGACTATCCTGAGTCAACTGAAGACTTCGACAGTATGCCACTCAAACGTCTTTTCCCTGAAAAGAATCGGGACGAACTCCGCACGCGAGCTTCTTTGCTCAGGAATATCGGTGTCTTGACCGAGTCGTTCAAGCGTGAGATCGTCAAATGCGACCCCACAAAAGAGAATATCGACGATATCCTCATTCTTTACGCTGAACTTCGCCGTGAGCTAGGCGTCCCCATTGGGTCAATCAAACCCGGGGAACCGGCCAAACGCGCCACCATTCACCAACGCGCCACATGGAACGAAAGTGCCGCCGCCAAAGAATGTGCTGTCGCCAAAGATGCTGCCGTCAAAGATGCGCCAAATGGATACGCACCTCCTCGGAACCCGACCCCTCCCACCTTTGTACCTCCTGCTCTTGATGGCACGCCCTCATCTTTTTCCACCAAGCCTTCTGGTGGGTCTACTACTTCCTCCAAGTTCGCCCAATCGTTCTCCGCTCCAACCCCTGCTCCAGCAAATACTTCTGTTTCCACCTCCATTCCTGGTCCTTCGTCCTCAGCCGCGGCTCCTGTCTCGGTTGCTCCTGTCACTTTGGCTGGGCCCTCTCCTCCGACTACCGCCCCCAATGCTACTCCTGTAGCCATTCCTACCGTTGAGACTCCCAAGCTTGGTGATGCGGCCACTTCGACTGCTGTCCCTGCTTTCGGTGCTCCTAAGTCTAGTGGTGCGACTACTTCGACTGCCACCCCTGCTTTCCAAATTCCTAAGTTTGGTGATGCAGCCACTTCAACTAGTGCCCCTGCTTTCAAAATTCCCAAGTTTGGTAGTGGAGCTACTGGCACTGATTTTGCGGCGCAGTTCAAATCAGTGTCGGACAAGACCCTAGCCGAAGCGAAGGCCAAGAGAAAGGCCGAAGAGTTTGACTCCGATGAGGAGGATGAAGCTGAATGGGAGCGCAAAGATGAGGAACGTCAACGTGAGAAGCGCGCTCAACTCGAAGCTGCAGCTAATAAGCGTTCCGTTTATGTCCCCGGCGTGGGTTTCAAGTTCGCTGATGATAACACTGCTCCACAGAACGTTGAGGAGCCTGCTACATCTGCCACCCCATCAACCCCTCCCTCTCTGTTCCCTCCTTTTACTGCTCCTTCAACCGCTTCTACTACCAATGGTACCCCCTCTTCCTCACAATACCAGCCCCGGTTCCCTAGATCATCTCCTCAATCCTCCGAATTCTCAACTCTCGTCGGGACAGCCACTCGTTCGCCTGCGGATGCGGCACTCTTTGGGGCCAAGCCTGGACCTCCGCCTCCTTCCTTGAGTGCAGGCCCTCCAAGCTCCTCGGTCGGCTCTTCGATTTTCAGCGGATCGGTCAGAAAGCCGGTTCCAGCCTCGCAGAACATTTTCGGCAAGTTGAAGCCGACCTCGCCGAAACGCAAGGCGTCTGCGGATGAAAGCGACAACGACGATGATTCCCCCCCCAAGAAGACTAAGTCTTCCCACAACATTTTCGGCGGACCCCAGCCGACCTCGCAGAACATTTTCGGTGGGCTTAAGCCGACCTCCCCAAAACGCAAGGCATCTGTAGATGAAAGTGACAACCAGGATAATTCTCCCGCCAAAAAGACAAAGCCGTCGCCCCCCCTCCTTCTGCGGGCGCCAGTATGTTTGGACGGGCGTCCACTGCCCCATCGCCGGCCCCTTCAACCAATCTCTCTTCACAGCCCGCAATGGCCACTCCCTCGGCCACTTCCTCGGCTCCTCCCACTCAATCGATTTCCACCGCTACTGAAGATGAGGACGGTGAACCTGGTGAAATCTTCGATCTGACAAAGGGCAACAGCGGCGAGGAGGAGGAAACCGTCATGTTCGAAGAGACCACCCGTATTTTCAAACTTACGGGCACCTGGCAGCCCAAAGGAACCGGTCCCCTTCGCGTTCTGAAGCACCCTGTCACTGGACGTGCACGCATCGTCGCCCGTGCCGATCCAAGTGGAAATGTTATTTTGAACGCTCCCCTGATGAAACAGTTCGACTACAAGAGCAACTCCAACAGGGTTCAGTTGCTAGAGCCCAACCAGACCGGGGGATTCACGCAATGTACAGTCCGAATTCCGGCTGAAAGAATGCAAGAGTTCCTCCAGCTGGTCAACGAGATCAAGACCTAGATCTCTTTTTATCTCTTCCCCATTTTTTCTTCATCTTTGTTCTCCCTTCCGGGGGTGTATGCTAATTCCCAAGCGCATGGCCATGGTTTGCATTTGCGTGTTCTGCCTTTATGGTTCGGTTTCTTTTTGATCTCTTGCTTTTTGTTGTTGTTTTTCTTTGTGCATCGACCCCTCCCCTTGGACAAAGTTGGCCCGGCTTCACGCCGTGGGCCAGCTTCAAGCCCAATAGCATCCGCCTCTTTCCTTTTGAACCCAGTCAGGGCCCGGGTGAGTATCTCCCTGGGCGCCACGGGCTTCAAGTCGGACAGAGTCGGCGCGGCTTCACACAGTCGGTCTCTTTTTCTTTGAGCCTAGTTAGGGCCCGGGTGAGTTTCTCCCTGGGCGCCACGGGCTCCAGAAAAAGTTGGCGCGGCTTCACTGGCAATGGGCCAGCTTCCAGTCCAATGGCATCGGTCTCCTTTGTGAGCTCTGTTAGGGCACGGGTGAGTATCTCCCTGGACACCACGAGCTCCAAGTCGGATTTCCTTTTTTTTTATTGAAGATAATGGGGTCTACATTGTATTTCTGTGAAGGTGAATAAAAATTGATCTTTTTTTCTAAGCATACCTCGTAAATATATGTCAGTAAATATACATCAATTAACTAAATGAAGTCGATCAAAACAAAGACCCTGGGACCCTGAGACCCTGAGACCCTGCGGCTGTGATTTTCGAGGGGCCGAGACTCGGGTGGCGGCCTAAAAACCCGCCTATTTAAGACATCGCTCTTCTTTCCAGTTCTCTCCCCGTTCCCCTTTTATTTTCTTCTGCTTCTCAGCTGTCACTCGTTAAATTTTTACGCTCGTTCAACCGTCCAAAAATGAAAACCTTCGCTCTTTCTTTCCTCCTAGGCCTCGCCAGCCTCGCCACGGCTCGCACTGACCTGCAAGGCTGCGTCTCGTCGGAAGTCATAGTCGAGCAATACTACGCCAGTTACATCTGGTACGTCCCTGGCACCGGCGAGATCTGCTCGTTCCTCGACTGCGGCGGTGGTCGTGCGCCGCCAAAGACCAACCAACCGGGATGTCCACTATACAGCGGAACCGCAACGCTTACTCCCGACTACCTGGCGGGCTGGGGACCCAATGGCAAACAGGCTGCCTCTACAAGCACCGTGGCGTCGACTTCTTCGGCGACTGCCGCGTCGACTACTGATGTTGTGCTCGCTTCTGCCACGCAGACTTCTGAGGCGTCGGTGTCGGACTCGTATTCCGCGTCTTCCGCTTTCGCTTCTTCTTCTTCTTCTTCGTCTGATTCTTCTTCCTCTTCTTCTTCCTCTTCTGGTTCTTCTTCTTCGTCTTCCCCGTCCAGCACTCAAGCTGCCGATAGCATGATCACGGCTGCTCCTTCTTCTCTCACCGCGGTCGCTTCTTCGTTGAAGATTTCCACCTCGTCGGCCTTATCCACTGGTAACGCTACCTCTTCTGCTGCTGCGGCGACCAGCTCACCCGCTTTCAATGCTGCCACTATCCCCGCCTCTAATGTCGCCGGTATCATGGCCGTGCTTGCCGCTATGGTCGGGGTTATGGTGCTGTAATTTCAACTTGAATGTGTACTTATACATTGTGGAAGTCGGATTTGTACCTAGTTTTGGAGAGAGGAGACGGGCTTGAATTTAGATAAATACTCAGAAATATACCCGCTTGCGGAACAACCCCCTATTCCCTGTCCATAGCATATCACACCACTGTCCCACGGCAGGAGAATACTAGTTTGAGCCGCATCGCCGATCTGCACGACCCGCCCTCTTGGCGAGACCCAAGGCTCTCTCCACAACCAAGGGCTCTCTCTACATTTGAAGTTGTGGAGATGGTCCGTTGGAATGACTCGACCTGTAATTTCTAGCTGGCCCGGGATAGAGCCTGTCTGTCTCTTGAGGTCACTGGGATTGCAAACATGGCTTGAAATAAGGGGTAGTTGAGTTTGAGACGCAGCCATGGCGTGTTTTTGAAACAGAAAATTGCTAAATGTAGTACCTTACTGAAATTTCTTTACTTCTAGTGATCTTTAGTTAGGAAGTGGAAGTAGATAATTATTACATTGAAATATGTACTCCGTACAAGCAGATCGAAATGGCCGAATGTCGGGGACGGACTCCGTTGCTCCGCTGCAGGCCCAGACCCGACAATCAACTATATTGTCCATAAATCGGTGGCATCTCACCAAAAGGAAACAGCATATCGAGGGGACAATCTATCATGAAGTTGTAGTCCATCGGGGCGACATTCGTTGGCAGGGAGGTTTGTTCCAGTGCTTCTTTTCTCCGCCGATGCATCCTTTTAATCGTTACCGCGCGATTGGTCATCCTTCCAAATATCTCCGGCAATTCAGCAGACTTGGGATCTTGCGCAAGAGCCTGTTCGAAGAATGGAAGTTCTTCTTCGAGCTTGCCAGTGATATGATCAACGGTCTGGTCGAAGTCCATTATGCTTTCCACGTATGCTCGGTCCCATCCGGGATGGTCATATAGGGAAAGCTGGGAAAGAGTGACGATTGCCTTGCCAAATTGACACATTATGGTGAAGGGGAAGAAAGGAAAAAGAGCAGAGGGGAGAGAGAGGATGTTTTGCAAAAAGGAGGTTGTCGCTTCCACGCAGTGGAAAAGGAGATCCAGTTGTATGAGAGGATGATCACCATAGTTAGGTTTGGGTTCGTTAATAAGTGCAACTCGGTAAAGATGTAGCTCGAGCGTGTTGTAATGAAGCTGTAGAATGGCTGTCGTTGTTGTCAGATCATTGTTAGATTGTGCGCGAAAACAGCACAACCTACCATTGTGTGGTGCCTGACTCGGCATGCGAGCTTTGAGTTGCTTAAGTTCGGCTTCAAGCCATCGTATGCTTAGACCAAGTGGCGGGGGCGCTGATGAACCCGATGAAGAATGGAGGTCGGTATAATATAGTGTGTGATGGATCCTGTCTGCCAGTTTCATCGCTCGGACTAGCTGTACGAGAGAAGCATCGGTGGGATATTCTGCGACCTGGTCTAGGACATTGCAGCATTCGTCGGTGTATCTTGTAAAGCGAATAATCGGCCCCAGGTCTTTTACACATGTTGAGAGCCTTTGAAGAATTAGCTTATGTCCAGCAAGACCAAGGGTCATACACACATGGTAGTCAGATAATAACACCCAAGATAGGTTCGTCGCTCTTCCAACGTCCGAACCGGAGTATGAGAGTCCTCATTTATAGATTCCTTCAAATAAGTCAGAGCATAGTTCAAGTTCTTCTGGTAATTCAGCTCTTGATTTAGGCCCAAACTGAAGGATTGCGCCACGAGTAAGTGCACGAATGTATCAAGCTGGGCAGCGCTTCGAATAGCTTGGCGAATCTCCTCTTCTGATTTGAGCACATCGGGGGGTTGGTTCCTAGGTCGGGGGAAACGACTGACTGAAACGAACCAAGCCACATTGATGAGAAGCCCCTGAAGAAGATCCAGGCTATGTTCTCCTCTCATGACGATGTGTTCGGCCACATATTCTTTGACTGCATGCACAATTTCTCGCTGGCGTGGAGCGTTCTGGCACGCGACCATTGAGATATTCAGATAGAGGAATGGTTTCTCTCGACGCAGTTCCTCTGCGGTGATATCCGGGGACATCATGAGGAACGGAAAGAGAGGGAACATTCTCTTGAAGAATACTTCTATCAACAGCTGGCCTTCGATTTCATCGGGAGCAGCAGGGTTCTCTTCAAACGTAGATGATGATCTCGTTTCTGGGCCGCTTTCTACCCGTTCTCTGACATTTCGTTCCGAGGCGGCCAGCATGGCGACCATACGGTCTAATTTAGCCTCAAGTGCGGCAACATCTCTACTAGAATGTCAGCGGTCTCGCCTGATAATGGTGGACACTTAGTGAACACTTACGAGCCACTTGCGACCGATTTCTTCTCACGACGATGGGCGCCGGGTGCTTGCTTTTGGCATTCTTTTCTCAAGCGACGGCAACTAAGGAAAGTCAATATGGATCAAGTATAAAATCAACTATATGCTCACCGTTTACAAGGACCTTCGGTTTCCGGGAAACATCGTACTTTGGCCTTGGCACAGGTTATGCAAGCCTTAGGATGACGGGCCCCAACTTCATCCATGACGTCTTAGCGTACACTAACAAGGCCAACGGTGAGTCGGATCGAGTTAACGAGATACAGGAGCAGTTAGATGATGAATAAGTTAACAACTCGAGTCCAATGTGTCTGACTGGGAAGAAATGAAGGAACGGAACTCCGCACTTGATCGCATTTCTATTGGTCAAGTTGCATCACAGTGGGCCTCAGCTACTATATAACCCCCTTTTTATATCAGGGCTATGCTATGCCTTGCCATAACTTCATACGTACTGTCAACTACCTCCTTCTCATTCTGTGTCGATTCATATGTAGAAAATGGGATTCTTCTCCGTATGCCTAGGACGGTACGATATAGCACATCGGACAAGTATTTGAGCAGTCGCCTAGGTCAAACATTGAACGCCTTGTTGTATACACAAAGCGAGACGGTGGCTGCTTCATCGGTGAGGCGTACGTTCTTCGAAGGCCAGACGACTTCGCCTGTCGTACGGTCGGTGATTTCGTCGTTCTTTAGCGGCGCCATCACCTTCCATGTTGCCCTTTGTGGGTGTTGCAATCATCTCCGTCGCCGTCGCCTGTGACCAAACTTTGGACCAGTCAAGGTAGTCTTTCCATCCTTGCTTCTTAAACAATAAATGCCTAGTCACCTCAATACCTATGCTTCCATCTCATATACTAGGTAGTTCTCTGGCTTATAACCTGGTTGGTCTCATCGCTGTTAGTGGCACAGTCACATAGTCAATTCTGCTTGCGCTTTTAGTATCTCGGTATGCAATATAAGTGCATTATGTCCTAACTCGTACTACAATGTTGTGGTTATTACTAGAAACTAATTTCTGCTTGGCATAATCTCAATTAGGCAGGTAGGGCTTAGGGTTTATTGCTTTGTTTTACCCTGCTTAGTAACCTAACTAATTCTAACTAGCTGAATTGCTGGTTAAGGGCGCCTGGCTTGGTGTTGGGGTAGTTGGGTGGGATATACTCCGTGGAGATGCCCCAAATTGGGGGTCCCTAGTGCCTAGTCGAAGGGACCCATAGAAGTGGTGCTTCGGAGTCGGAATTGAGGTCTCTTAGTATCAGAAGCATCGCGAGCAATTAACGCGGCATCTAAGCAGGAGATTAAGGTGGAGATCATCAGGCATATTTGGGTATAAAATGGAGAAATTCAGTATAGGAATCATATATGAGGTTTAAAAGCTCACTGATATACGAATACCAGCTAATAAATGGCATTTACTAACTCCGTACTCCGTAGAGAGGATCTATTACCCCAAATAGTGGACCCTGGGATGCTTCCTGTCAAATAGACGGAAACGGAGTAAATGCGTTACTCAATAGAGTCTGCTGAACGTCTCTACTTCGGATCAAAAAGAGGCCTAAAATACCACTGGACTCCAATAATTGAAGCCAGATAAGATTACCAGCCTATCTACGCGGAATTTATAAGAACCAAGTCGAAATTACTCCAACATCTCCAACATCGACCTCAAGTATGAACAATTTGAGCGAGTAATGTTGAAATCTCCCTTATCGGCGAAATAGCCGTCCCCGCAATTCGCAACATTCGCAACGCGCAACTCCGATATCATTCCAGTCATTCTAATAGTCCCCTCAACTCCAACTCTTCTTCTTCATACTCGTCATACTCCTAATCATGGCTACCTTCTTGAAACAGCCCCTCAAATTGGCTCTTGTCCAGCTCGCATCAGGTTTGACTTCCAAGATCTGTCGATGTTTTCCCAGCTGACCGAACCATCTAGGAGCGGATAAGGCCGTGAACCTCTCTCATGCTCGGAGCAAAGTCCTGGAAGCTGCAAAGGCTGGCGCGAAATTGATCGTCCTTCCCGAGTGCTTCAACTCACCCTATGGCACGAATTTCTTTCCCAAATACGCCGAGACCCTCCTTCCCTCTCCTCCCACGATTGAACAATCGCCCTCCTTCCACGCCCTGTCGGCCATCGCCGTGGAGGCAAATGCATACCTTGTCGGCGGGAGTATTCCCGAGCTGGAGCCATCAACAAAGAAGTACTACAATACTTCATTGGTGTTCTCGCCGACGGGCGCGTTGATTGGCACTCATCGCAAGACTCATCTGTTTGACATTGATATCCCGGGCAAGATTAAGTTCAAGGAGAGCGATGTACTTTCACCGGGCAACGAGCTGACAGTCATTGATCTCCCGGAGTATGGAAAGATCGGTCTCGCCATCTGCTACGATATTCGTTTCCCAGAGGCAGCGATGATCGCCGCCCGCCAGGGCGCTTTCCTCCTCGTCTACCCGGCGGCCTTCAACACCACCACCGGTCCTTTGCATTGGTCGCTCCTTGCTCGTGCCCGAGCTGTTGATAACCAGTCATATGTGGCCCTCTGCAGCCCGGCGCGTGATCTGGATGCCGCCTACCACGCCTATGGTCACAGCTTGGTCGCTAACCCAAGCGCAATTATTCTCTCCGAGGCTGAAGATAAGGAGACTATTGTTTACGCTGACTTGGATAACGATTCCATTGCGGACATTCGCAGTGGAATTCCTATCTCCACCCAGCGCCGATTTGATCTTTATCCCGATGTGAGCGCAGGCCAGAAATAGATTTTGGGAGACTGTGAAGGATTTCTATTAGAATTTTATCTCGAGAATATAGTCTCAACCTGAATATTCACGAGCAATTTATTAAATCACTACCATAGAGGGAAGTAGATACAGTTGAATAAGGTGGTTATTGCCTGAGGCATCAATATCCATAGCTACAATTTCATTGGCTGTAAATGGCCCCACTCCGTCCAATCAGACCCCGCACAGGCAAGCGAGACCACACTGAATTTCACTCGAAAATCGACCGCGAACTCTTCTTCTGACAATCGATCACCTCCGCCCACCGTCGACCACCCCTTCAGTCAGTCTATTCAAATCACCACTCCGAATTTATCCTCTAACCTTCTCCGCAGAGATGTCCAACGTCAAGACTGGCAACAAGCGCTCGGCTATCGCCGATGTGGTGACTCGCGAGTACACCATCAACCTGCACAAGCGAGTATGTTGAACACAAACCCTTTCCCTGTCTACCTGCGACGATTCGAATACGATTCAGTTCTGGAGGCATATATTGGACAGAGAACAAGAAACTTTTTCCTGAAAATGGAATTTGTTACGGAAAAGAATGTGTGTGGTGTGGATTGGTGTGTGTGTGCATCCGGGGTCGAATGGGAAACCAATCCCCCCCTATGTCACACCACCACCCTCACCATGGCCTGCGGAGAAATCTGCAGGTAGGACATGGCGCTTTCGTCTTTTGTCTGCTTCGCGATAGAGACAGCCGAGCGGAGATCTTGAAAAAAGTCTTCGCTCGCATCCACACATATCCGCACCCGGAACACAAAAGAAGAATTAGTTTTATGAAGTCCACTATGGCCGAAAGACCAGAACATTCATCGCGCAGAGTTTTCTCTAGCAGATGGCATTCGGGCGGAAGACTGATTGCAACTTCTTTTCCGGAATTATAGTGCCACGGCGTCAGCTTCAAGAAGCGTGCTCCTAAGGCTATCAAGGAGATCCGCGCCTTCGCTACGCAGGCTATGGTAAGTTTGAGCGATCTCCCCTGACCTCGCTGAGGAATCAGTTCGCTAACATGCTCAACTCACCAACAGGGCACCAAGGACGTCCGCGTCGACCCCCAGCTGAACAAGAAGGTCTGGGAAGCCGGTATCAAGGGCGTTCCCTTCCGTATCCGTGTCCGCATCTCCCGCAAGCGTAACGACGAGGAGAACGCCACAGAGCGTCTCTACTCCCACGTCCAGGCCGTCAACGTCAAGGACCCCAAGGGCCTCCACACCACCAACGTCGATGACGCTTAAATGTGTCGCTTTTCGTTAGCATCTATGATTCCATGTTCCCTGCTGGGGTGTGGTCGGGGTTTTACAAAAATACAAAATACCTTTCCCTTTGGGGCCTTCTTATACATTATGTCATAGTATCGTAGTATTCCACTTTGATTAGCATGTCCGAGCACCAGAAGCAACTTGACAGCAGGATTATTCAAGGTCGCTCAATTACACCTATGTCTCCACTTTCATATAGTTTAGATCCCTTGGAACCTGGAGGCCAACCCGTGCATTGTTCGCTCGGCATACAACTTATGTAGAATCCGGGGCCTTCATGCAAGTGAGTACTAAGTCTCTAGAAATCATCATTTCCTTTACGGCACCTATTGCTTTCACGCGATGAGAAATAAGCCGTTATGTTCACTGTCCAAGCTGATGGTCCAATTAGGGCTAGGCAGGGGACCCGTCCATACACAACAGTGACAACACCTAAGGACTTGGAAGAGGATTGTGAAAGGAAAGCTAGTGGTGTTTCTTAGCTGATCTAGGGTATATGTCCTAGCATGGAGCAAATAATATTGACAATTATAAATAAAGTACAACTACCGCTCAGGATTTCGAGTACGAAGAAAGGTGAAAAAGTATGTCGCTGTATATACCGGTGCCGCCGCTTTATGATGGCGCTCGGGGTCCTGCTCACCGAGTATTTCACAGCACAGGTGATCACTCAGTGAGCACTTAGGGTATGCTCAGTCTATGCTCAGTCTATGCTCAGTCAGCACTCAGGTCGCCGCTTTTCGATGGAATCTTCACGATCTATTCCACCATATATGGCTTAGGCTTTAGAAATGAACTAGGAAGCTAGGGAAACTGAGGGCGCCATACTAAGTATGCGAACCTTTCCATTTCGGCATCCGTGAGGATAAAATCGGTCTCATTGCGCTGCTTGGGGCGAAGGTATACGTCCTCGAAATCGATCTTGAGGGATCCGCTAATTTTAGTTGGGTGTCGAACAATCTCCATCTTTTGGGTGGGCAAAGGATTTGCTCCTGGTGCTGGAGGATCCCATTTCTCGATGGTGATCTTGCCCCGGGGGTAAACTGTGATTGAGAGGACCACATTGACCTGGCCGTTCCCCTGGGTGTGCCACCATTTTATGTCATGTTCAAGCTGACGTCTGGTTTCCGAAAATGCGACTTCGCCGGCGAGAGTTGGCCACTTGTCTCCCCTACTAGCAGGGGGTTCGGCAGGCTGGAACGTGAAGTCGCCTCTCTTTGATTGCGGTTGTTGAGGGTACAGCTCATGTGAAAGGCAAGGCTTGCGGCACACTCATCGCAAGTGACTTAGAGCTCAGCTTCTGGGGTGGAGTCAATCCTCAGACAGGAGAGATTATTGACCGTCATCATGATTTGAGTGGCTACCATCTCCAGGATACTGTCCTTGCTATCCCCAGTGGTCGTGGTTCATGCTCTGGAAGTGGAGTTGAACATCAGCTTGAATGACATCCCAATATCGCATTCACCAGCGAAAGAGACTAGACATCGGGTAAAAGCGAGTATATATGACGTGAATCTAATCTAATTCGAGAATGGTTTATACGGTTTCGCGCTGCCATGGATTCGTATAGTCAACCTTCTGATGTATACAACTTCGATGAGACGGGCTTCCAAATTGGCATTGGGAAAGACCTGTTGATTATCACACGTCAAATTCGTCGAAATATTATGGCAGGAGTTCATAACGATCGTGAAGTGTCACAATTGTTAAAGCAATATCAACTGATGGATTTATCATTCCGCCTTCAATCATTATCTCTGCGGAACTAATTCAATATCGCTGGCTTCATGGTTTTATCAGGATGAACGTATTGTACTCACACATACCGGCTACACCAATGACTAGATTGTACATCAATACGTTCAACCCTTTGAAAGGCAACTCGTGCGGGGGTGAGAAGTGTCTGAAGAATGCTCTTTGTGATGGGTTTGGCTCCCTTTTCACCTTCGAAATGGCCAAACTCTGCGAACATAGTGGTATCCTCATCTTCTGTATCCTTCTGCATACTAGTAATTTGCTTCAAAGTCTATAAGCATCGTCACGGAGGCAATCGAGAAACCCTAAAATTCTGTTCGATATTTACAAAGCATGATTCTTTGGCTGAAATCAATTCAATTCGCGTGAAAACCTTCAACTAAACACAATGGAACTTGGATTTATAAGGCACTTAGCTTATCAATCCGAAAATTTTATAACTACATAAAAATTGGTAGAATATGATAATACAACACTTCCATCAGCACCCTCCTCTCATTTGTATTAATGCAATATCTCTTGGTACCCCAGGACCAGTTGAAAATGTAAATTATAGAGCTATATAACCTCAAAGATAATCAAAATCAAAGCAGAGAACCGACGTAGAAACAGCAAAGCATCGAACACCGTGGAAGCCAAGGCGGTGAGCGAGAGCTCTCCAAACTGCCGACGTGAGGACATCATATCAGCTCTCTTGCAGTCCGCATCAACCATCAACATCTCCAATTCCGTCCGAGTTTACCCACCTTCCTCTTTAACCCAGCATCCCGTCCTCTGTCAGTGACTTCAACTTAAACAGCACCCAGATCTCCACCATGGAGTCTAAGATCCCCGACTTCTTGCTCGAGCAGCAAGCACAAGGAAGCCCGGAGACACAACCCTACTTCCTCACCTTCGAAGATTACTGGGAACGCAAACTATGGCACCAGCTTACAGACTCGTTGGTCGAGTTCTTCCGCATGCCAGAGAGTGCTCCGCATCGCTTAGCCCTGTTTAAGACATTCGTGCTCAGTTTCGCCGACCGAATCAACCAGCTCAAGTTTGTGTCACTGGGATTGATGGCAGCAACAGAATGCGCAGGTTGGTAGTCCACAGTCTAGCCCGAAAGCTCAAAAAATCACCATGATAAGCGTTCGGTTGCGTTGATGTAAGCTAACCATCTCCCTCTAGATGACCAAGAACGACTAGCTTTCCTCACATCCCTCGCCAACAAGACGGATACGCCCGACACACAGGATGCATATGTCTACGCGCTCGCTGACGTGGCCAACGTCAAGCTGTCGCTGAAGGATCTGGAAGGAGCACAGACGGATCTGGCCACCTGCCAACGGGTGCTAGACATGTTCGACTCGGTCGAGACTGTCGTGCACGCGTCATTCTACAAAGTGAATGCGGACTACTACCACGTATGTGATTCGAATTATCCTATGTCCAGCCGGACACGGCACTCAAATTGAAGCTAACACCCCCTCCAGGCTAAGCAAGAATTCGCCTCCTTCTACAAAAACGCCCTCCTCTACCTCGCCTGCATTGACCTGGAAGAACTCACCGAGACCGAGCGCGCATCGCGCGCGTACAACCTCAGCGTAGCGGCCTTGGTATCAGACACGATCTACAACTTCGGAGAGCTCCTCCTGCACCCAATTCTGGACTCGCTGACCCAGACCCCACACAACTGGCTCCGCGACCTTCTCTTCGCCTTCAACAAGGGCGACCTGACTGCCTACGACGTGCTGGCAGGTAACATCAGCAAGAACAAGCTGCTGGAGTCACACCGGGTATTCCTGTACCAGAAGATTTCGCTCTCGGCACTGACGGAGATGGTCTTCCACCGTCCCCCTCATAACCGCTCTCTCTCTTTCCAGGCTATCGCGTCCGAGACCAAGGTGCAGCCGGATGAGATCGAACATCTCGTTATGAAGGCTTTGTCGCTGGGTTTGCTGCGTGGGTCTATTGATCAGGTTGCCCAGGTTGCACAGATCCACTGGGTTCAGCCCAAGGTTCTGGATATGAAGCAGATTGATGGCATGCGAAACCGTCTTAAGGAATGGGATGCTGGTGTTAATCAGCTCGGTCACTGGATCGAGGGGGCTGGTAAGGATGTTTGGGCTGCATAGATGTCTTATCTCACTTGTGTTCTGATAAGTTCTATTATAATGAATACAATGGTGTCGTTCTTATGGTGGTTCCAGTATATTTTTAGTTCGAATATGCGTGAGTCTACATGTGCTCTACATGTTTTCCTGACTCGATATCTACTTCACTCATCAAGGAAGAATAGGAAAATAAGACATTCATAGTTCTAGTATAACAAACCAGAGCAACTTCATTCCAGGAAAAGAATCTATATACACAACTCTCCACATCCCCCTTAATATCCATTAATCGAACACTCCAAAGCAGCAAAAGTAGGCGGATCAATCCCCTCAGTCCTATTATGACATCCTTTAGGCTGATAATACAACTTCCAGGTATCAAAGCAATCACAATCAGTCTTTGTAAAAACCGAGCAATACCCATTCTTGAGCAGCCACGACTCCGGTTTCACAAGTTTGCTCGCATCACAACTAGTCCACGTGAGGCTATTAGAAGTCCACCATTTACAGGTCACACCTGTCTCGGTGAATTTGCTATTAAGGCCTCCATGGAGCGCCAAGCAGCCCTTGTCGTCGAGGTATTCTTTGTTATAGCCCTCGAGGTGGTAGTAGTCGCCCTGGCAGTTTGCTTGGCTGTATAGTGTGATCTCCCACGGTGCCGTCCAGCTATATTGAGACACGCTTGCTTCAGGCGCTGCTTGTGTTGTTGTTTTTTGGGTAGTGGTTTGTTTAGTTGTTGTAGTAGTAGTGATTTTCGTGGCTTTGATGGTGGTGGTTCCGGTAGTGCTGGACTTAGAGCTGGTGCTGGATTTGGAGGTAGCTTTTGAGCCTGCGCCGGTGTTGGTGTTGGCGTTGGTGGATTGATGGACCCCGGTTGCCTTTGCCTTGCTAGTGACTTCGGAAGTCGGAGCCTCTGTCGCCCCTTTCACGGTGGCTGTAGGACCGGCAGGAGGCGCACGGTAACCCTCGCAATATAGATCGGAGACGCCACATTGACCCCAGAACGCACACTGCTAGTTGTCAGGACTAGATCTATACAGGGTTATGGACTTTACTTACACATTTGGACTCAGCACATGGGTTCAAACCGGGGAGGTCGGCCCAGTTAGCCGGACGTGTTGTGCCAGGTACCTGTGGACCGCAGGTTGCATGCGGAAGGGCCATTGGCATTGGCGGTTTCCCAGCGCTAAGACAGATGAAGTCACCCTGGTATAGTCGTCCGCATCCGAGCCACGCCCAGGTGTTTTTATTGAAGCTCTCGATATTGGCCTCGGTGATGCCGTGTGCTTTGGCAATCAGCGCACACGTATCATAACCCTGGATGAGATAGACGAAGCAATAGCCGTCGCTGGTTGGTACCGGGATGGCGGCTGTCGCGAGACGCAGGAAGAGAAGCCATAGAGCAAGGAAGTCGATTCGAAAGAGACCCATCTTGTTCTTGTGTAGACCTGGGAGATACAGCCATTTGGTCGAGTAACAAGGCTCATTCTTTATATAGATTGATAGAGATAATCGCAGCCGTGTAATCGCGACTGGATAGAGATGCTGCATGAAAGAAACAGAACACTGTTTCCGAGTTAGGGCATGACCCGTGGAATTGGTCAGGAACAATCCAACATTCATGCATGCGATGAATGTGAGATGTTAGTATTGTTCAAGGGCCTGACAAAGATTCGGGGAAATGTGTCGTATCAGAAGTTTGACATCCTGGATGTTTTCATTGTTCGCTTGGATCACCCGTGCATGACCTCTCTGATATAGTATGCATAAGGTTAGGGGCGGTCTTTGTCCAACCTCTCTTAAGCTCTTCTAGTGTCAAATGCCGAATGTTCTTTGATCGTAATTGGCCGCTGCGATGCTTGGGCCTTGAGAGTAAGAACCAGAAATCGAGTCACTTCTTTGAAGACAGGGACGGCGTGGCAAATGAAACACATCAAAGAGGGCGTACACATTCAGAGAACTTATTTGAGCAGAACATATACGTACCTAGCTACATTTGAATGCACTTGGATGTGTATTTGCAGTGCATTGGTATTGCATCGGTGCTTGGACGTCAGCCGCAGTTGATATTTGGACTCCATGCTGCCAGTGGTATCCAGCGCGCTAGTCATCTTTGTTTCTTTGTCTTGGGAGTAGTACGTAGATTCCTGGACTTTATTTATTAATATCCTAATCATTGGACCAATGCGACAAAGCGCGTGACACAATGTACAATATAGTAATCAGAAAATCGACGACCCCAGCAACACGCAGCCAATCAACCAAGCCGGCCACCACACACACCAAACAACGACCTGGGTCCACATACCCCAAACATCCCAACCGAAAGCCGCCTGGGTGAGAACAGTCTCAACTGAGACCCCCATATACCAGCAGACGCCAAGGAGAACAGCTGGCGGGGAGACGAGGTTGAGAAGCACCAGACCCAGACTGGAGGTTGCCAAGCGGAATGGCACGGAGCCTCGCAGGCGAGGGATGAAGCTAAGTGGCGCGCAGAGAAGACCGATCATGAATGAAAGGGAGAAGTTGAGGGTGGCGAGGGTTGAGAGGGAGAGACCCAGTAGGAGGAGGGAGAAGGATTTTATAAGGTGGTACTGTTGCGGGATGATTGGTTTTGATACACCGAGGCCGTTGGAGAGAATTGCGGCGAGGAGAAGGGGGAGGATGATGTCCACGACCACAAATATGTAGGTGGTAGTTGTGAAGTACTGTAGATACGTTAGCAGCTATTATCATTGTGGTTGTAGACTGGCAGATCTCACCTGGTGGAAGACATTATTAAAGACCCAGAGCGGGACAAGGCCGAGTAGATGGAGTCCGACAACAAGCGAGAGTGGTAAAGCAAGGTATCGTTCTGCGATAGTATTCCTTTCGACAATAGTATCCGTCTCCTTCTCTTCGGTGGGTGCCTTCTCTTTCTTTGGTTTAGCACTTGGCTTGCTTTCCGGGTAGTACCCAGTACGTATCCAGAGAGCAATTGCCATGATGGTGAAGTTTCCAGCGATCAGCATCGCGCTGGGCAAGTAGGTTCCAATGCTGACAAAACGGTTGGACTGCATGAGCAGGTAGAAGAAAAAGCTCTGGTGCAGGTGCTCTAGCAAGTTGTTCAAGCTGCGACAAAGAGACTCAATCGTCCGGCCCAGGGCCATCTCATCCTCCCATCCCTCGCCCTTGGTCTGCAGTGTGATAGCGTCGATATGGTACGGCATGAAGCTGCTGTGTGCGCCGGTGGCATACCCGAGACCCTGCTTGGTCATACCGCGGAACATGGTCTGTAGACGATGCTCGTAGCTGTCGTCGTGACCCCACATTTCCTGTAGATTGGCCCCGATGCCCATTTGACCACCTGCAATGGCCACAGCCGTGTTGAACAGGTCGAGGTTGGGGAGTTGGCCATTGACTCCGTCATATACAATATGGAGCGTCTGGAACCGGTGCTCGAATGGGTATTCGATAACTAGTGCACCTTGCAATGCTCCACTCTTCAAAGGAAGTGGCTGCACCGAAGCCGGGTGCATATCGTGGTAGGCATCGATCCAAGCCTGAGTGCCAGTCTTACTGTCCGGAGGAATTAAGAAGATGATATCCTTGGACCATAACGACCATCCTAGATAGCTGTCAATAACTCGACTAGAGGCACGCAACCACGGAACTCACTCTTGAAGTATCTTGCCAATGTCAAGGCAAGAGTGACACCATTCAGGTTCAGCTCATCATCAGCCGTCTTCCACGGCGCAACCAGCACAATCGCCTCCGTGGCATCACCGCGCGGCGCATGGATAATGGCATAAGTATTCTCTCCCTGGTGCGTAATCCCAGCGGAGGTGTATTCGTATTTTTGCGTGGCAACTTTAAGGCCCGCCGCTTGTAAGATTGACTGCAACTTGTCCGAGAGCCTGTCGAAGTATCAGCGAATAGTCCAGCCTGTGCCCGGTTCATTTGACATACGCCGCTGTCACTTCCGCCTCGTCTTTTTGGCCGCCTCTCGCCTGTCCATCATTCAACAATCCTTCCAATTCTTTCTTATAACCTCGGAAGATGTTCTGCTCGCTTCCCGTGAAATACGCATGGACTTGGCCCGGCAGGAGCGCATTCTCGGAGATGTAGGTTTGTCGGGAGTACTCGTTCAGAGGGAGGAGAAGTAGCCAGACGACACCGACGACTATGCAGATGAAGGATACGAGATTCGGGAGGCGAACATAGAGGAGGTTGGGGTTATTCCGCAAGTTGCGGATTGCAGCTGGCATCTTGTTAATTGGGGTCCCCGGTGCTGGTGGAAGGACAGGTGGTATTCGGCATTTTGCTCACATTTCAATGCCATTGACTAATGACCATCGGGAAATGAGTTCCCGTGCCGCGAAGGCGAAGCTGTTAAACGAGTGGAACAATTGGACTGAACTGGAGTCTTACAAGTCAACAGTGGAGATAGAGCTCCCGTTGTTGATGCGCGAGGAATTTACGCCGAACGATAAAGACCAACCGTGCAAATTAATTGTGAGTATGCACACGCTATGCTATTATCCAATGTCCCCGAGTCTGCAGCAATATAAAAAACTATAGTGGAAAATATACATTAAAATGAAATGAAGAATGCATCAATACCGTGATCAGGTTCCCACTGGGTAGATCACAAGTAGCTCATGGTTGTTTGATTGTTGCTGCTGACGGTGGCAGGGTTGCTGGTTGGAAGAACTCCATAACGACCGTAGGTCTTCTGGTCGACAGAGACATAGTGAGGCAGACGTCCCAGGAGGTTCAGCTTGCCCTCGATCCAACGGAGGACCTTCTCAGGGGGCACAAACACCTTGAGATATCCGAGGCCAACTAACGACGATTAGCAGTGGTAGGGCTAAATTCAGAGAAGAGAACTCACGGAGATATCCAACAAGGATCGCGCAGAGATGACCAAGGAAGCTCACGTTCGAGATGAGGATGGATACAACGACACATGCGAACAGGGGTGAGGTCCAGGTAGGAATCTTGTACGGGCCAAGACTGAAGGGCGTTAGTAACATTGGAGCAAGTTTTCCAAGTGAATCTTACCTGAAGTTAGGGTGAGACTTGTATGTCTTGATGGCTTCGGAGCCGAGAAGCAGGAAAACCCAAATGCTGGATTGAAGATTAGTTACCGAAACATTCCACCTAGTGATCTGAAGCTTACCTTGCGCCGACCACCGAAGTATTTCTGTGTAGGATAAACCTCTCAATCAAGATGTAAAGTCCAGCGGGGACAGTCGAGAGAGCTGAATTATTCAACATTAGTCAAAAGGCCGCAAGCGTTGCGTTTCTGGAGCACTCACGTCCAATAAACAACGCAATAGCAGTCAAAGTGCCATGCTCGGCCTCGAATCGCTCCAGTAGCGGTGCAACTGCCACTGCATTAAAGAAAGCATGGAAGAAGCCCGTGTGGATGATGGGATAGGTGTTCAGTCGGTACACTAGTAACACCATCAAGTCAGTATGCGCCCGACATGCTTTTCAACATGGAATCAAACATACTAGTCCCCAGGTTGATCTCGTCTGGAATCAAAGCGCCCCATTGCACAACACTCCAAATAGTCTGGAATTCGAGCAGCCAGAAGGCCAGAATGATCAGCAGCACCAGTCGAGTAAACAGCGGTAGTCGGAGGAGGTATGTTCGTATCCGACCCGGATTGAAAGGCAACGGAGGTAAAGCGGCAGGGGTCGTCATGATTTCTGAATGGTGCTATTCCGTTTCTATCACTTTCGAAGGAAATAAATATAGTGACGAAACCACTCAGGGCGGCCGGAATAGAGTCGGGCTGACAAGTCGGGATATACCGCGACTTTGAACGAGAGGGATTGCGATCGGAGCCGTTGGTAAGAATTGACAATTATTCAACAGTCAGATGGTGGATCGAATAATTAATGACTGGAGAGAAAGATCAGTTAGACTCTGTTTTCCTAGTTGATCTGCCAAGCCGATGCCAGGGATAACTCACAAGGCGCACGCGATCCTGGATGGAACGAAGACAAGGGACAAGAACCCCAACTGGAAACGAGTAGCCTTCCAAATGTCAAGGAAACAATCTGAATGGAAAATTCAAACTCGAAGAGACGTCAAGGGAGACCGAACCATTAAAGCGACTTGTTCGCGAATATTACGCCGCGCGATAAAGACCAACCGCGCAAGGTGTCCGGGTAGACAAACCCCGTGGTGGTGATTTGACAGCTCAATCTACCCCGTGCTGTCTAGGTCTATTCAGTATAAAATGTGTATATCGCCTTTGCATTTGCTATCTATATTGAAAATCGTCCAACTAATTTACAGGTGCTCGTTAAACCAAGCGATGGCCTGGCAGAAAGCCTGCTCCTTAGCCCACTTCTGCTTGGGGTCCTTCAGATCGCCGCGAACAGCGAAGCCGTGGCTAACACCGCTGAACAGGTTGATCTGCCACGGCTGGGTAGTCTTGATAAGAATATCCTCGGACTCATGGCGAAGCTGGGTAGTGAAGATCGAGTCGACCTCTATTGACACGCGAAAATTAGCCTTTGCTGCTTCCCTTCAAACTAATATCCTGCAAACAACTTACCAGCAGCAGCGATAGACAGAGGTCCCTTGATGGCGCCGAGCTCCTCGTGGGTGACGAACGAGGGGTGCGCAATGTAACCAACGTCAATCAGGCCGGGCTTTATGTTGCGGCAGACGAACTAAACCAATATTGTTAGCTAGGGGTTATGAGGTATTTTCGTAGATTGGATCTTCAGATCTGGACTAGAGGTACATACCTTAGCACCGAAGCAGTAGCCAACAGCGCCGATTCTCTTAACGCCGAGAGTCTCACGGGCGTACTTAATAGCCGACTCAACAGCGGGCTCAACGTCCGCGGGCTTGTGCTTGGGGAGCCATGCAGACAAGTCGACCTTGCCAGATTCCATGGCTTTGACATCGATCGCGTCGCCCTGGAGAATATCCGGAACGATAGTCAGGTAGCCATTGTTGGCGTACTCGTCGGCGAGGAGCTGGGCGTTGGTGTAGATTCCGAAGATATCGGTCACGAAGATAATGGCCTTCTCGGGGGTCTTGTTGCCCTTGGGGTGGGCGATATAGGCGTTGACTAGAAAACAGCTCGGTTAAAAAGTATCATTTTGGGGGCTTGAGGGGCTTCGGGTGGCTGAAATAGAGGAGTTTTGTAAATTACCTCCGTTGATAGTCTTGGTTTCACCGGCGGGAGTGCCTTCGTGCTTGAAACCAGAGGCACAGCAGGCAGCGGGAGTGTTGGAAGCCATTTTGAAGTGTGAAGAGGTATAGAATGTAAAAATGAAGTACGATATCAAATCATGGATAGAGGGGTTGCTTATAAATGTACCCTGGGTGTACAATGTCCAACTTGAGTCTTTACCCATTTCGTCAGATATTATTTCATCCAATCCAATTGGCTGACTGGCGTATTACTCCACATGCCCCTCAAGGAGCTCTTTGGCTCCTAGGGGTAAACCTCTTGGACCGCCGCCGTTATTCACATTCTCATTCCTTATGTAGGTGCCCAAGGCTGACCCTCTAGAGCTGAGGCTCAATGGTCTTGCACTGACTTTGAATATCTGACTTGCATATATATACATACGGCTTTTGCCCATCTAAAAATGTATGAGAGCAAGATTTCATTGCCTCGGCAGTCGGCATCTGACAATGACTGAAATAAGACCCTAACTCCTTATATCTACCCCAACACGTTACAATAGTAAGTTTGAAGAGATAAGAAATAACATTGCATTCATAGAAACATCTGTACTGCATATATCTGGGATACTAGGACATCCAGTCCCAGTCAATCCCACCAGCCGTATTACCACATTAGTCCATTCACACATTGAACGTCACAAAATATCATGTCCGAGGTCCTCCAAGAAACTGTCCTTCCCAGGGTATCTTTCTGCAGGAAATATCATGTCGCATGAAGAATTCACAAGCAAAATGACTCCGTATATCTCATGAAACAAAAAACCTCAGAAGTGTAAAGGTGGTATCAAAGGAAAACAAGTCGCAGAATTTTTCACTCGAAGCGGAAGTTTGGCTGAGGGCGCTGTGCGCGCCTCACAGCCCAGGCCTTGAGGGCAATTGTCAAGATCTCATAAGCCATAACGAAAGCACTGAAGCCTAGGCCGACAGTGAAGGTGAACATTGCGTCCACGTCGTAGTACTCCATAGTTTGGATCACATTTCGGGTCTGGATCTTTGTTAGTCATGCTCTTGGGGGACACTGTAAAGCTTAATTGCACTTACACTCATCATGAAAATCAGACCTCCCGAGATTAGGCAGAATGCAGCGATGATCTCGGTCGGGGGACGAGCCGGGAGGTACGAGGTCGGTGGCTTGAGGTATAACAGAACGTATGTCATGCCGCGCGACAGCGCAAATCCAACCAACATGTTACCCCACTGCTTGTGTACCATAGTCGATGTCATGCTGTCCTGGTGGTGCGACCCCATCATCATGCCAAGCAACATAATAACTAGGGGTGGCATGGGGTTCAAGGAAACGCCCTGCGACCTCGGTGGCGTCCAGGCTTCATCCGAGGTGCCATGAGCAGGGGTCTGGAGGATGGTGTTGTTGACCAATTCGCGGATCCAGGTAGATTCGAAAAGCATACCGGCCTATTTCAGGTTAGTCAGGTTGATTCTTATAAAGAGCCGAAAAAAGGAGATGGAACGTACTAAACCGCCGCCGAAGAACAGCACAGAAATCGAAACGTGCTCGAGGTCTGTAGCAGACCATGCCTTGCCCGCACCGGATAGGTGCTCGAGAAATACATTTGTCGCGCCATATAGGAAAATGACGAATGATTCTGTGGCTTCAGCTGATGGAACCTTAGATTTCCAGCCGACAATAGACGCGGAGGGCTTCTTATTCCAGGCCCAGCCTAAATCTGCCCAGCAACCGATATAACGTCCTAGTGTCAGGACACCGTACCAGAAGAAGATACCGCCCTTGATGAAGTGAGCAAGGCCGTTGAAGATTTCATGGCCCCTCATGATACCACCATAAGTCACAGCCCCAGTCGCAATACAGACAAATCCGAATGGAAGAATGACACGGTCAACAATATTATACACGACATTCAAAACGCGGAGAGCTCGGCCGGGGATCAGACCAGGGACAGTCTTGGACAAGAAGCGACCAACACCGGTGTGACGAATCCAGCCTTGCGGAGCGGTATCCTTCGGTAGTTCGTCGGGCTTTTCAAATCCGTCGTAATCGGTAGGCGACTCGCAACACGATCCAGGGCTATGAATAGAAGACGAGTTGCTATCGGTCCCCTGGCCACTATCGCGAGACCAGCGATGCTCGCGCATCGCACCGTTGAAGCAAGCACGCTCGTTATCATTGTCATCCGTCGCGACAGGCAAGAACGCAGCGTGTTCATACGAGGGCGTATTCGACTTATTCGACTCGCCGCGGCCAGCGTAAGCAAAGAGCAAAGCCAGGACGACCTGGGTGGATACAGCACACGTCGCAACCCAGCCGAGCTTGTGGTGCGCATTGTTCTCGTAGAGGTCTGGAGTCTGGCTGTTATAGATAACCCCGAGTAGGACACCGAACGCATTGAAGGCCAGGAAGAGGAATTGTGATAGAATCGCAAGCCGTGAGCGTGCGATGCTCAGCATGACAGCTATTTGAGATCAGTTTCTGTTTTCTTTCATGCTCAGAGCTCAACAACAGCTACTTACCGACAGGAAGAACAAAGCACCATCCCAGAACCATAAGGGCAATGTGAGCTATAATGGTGCTGGAGTGCTTGCTATACGCAAAATAGCTCATGGGACCATCGGTGTTAGCTTGCATGGCGGTGGGTGTAGGTTGCGGCGCGTCGGTGCTCGTGTTCATATGCATCCCCATGTCCATTGATTCACCGTCCCCGTGTGGAAGCGCGGTCGCAAGCGATGCGAGCAGTAGCGTGAAAATTGCCGCCCTGGCGACTCGAGTGGCTATAGGCCACATCAGGAAGATGATGTGATATACTGCGAGAAATAATGATGTGGCTGTATGTGCAAAAAAATGCAAGTGGTCGCGAAGTATAGAGCTCCAACCAGCTGAGGTCGAAGCTCTATGAAATCGTGACGTAGCGAGCCTGTCAAGCCGGTAGCTGGGCCCGTATTTATTCTTGCTTTTCACTCCTCCAAGTCTAGACAGGACTACTCGGAGAGTGACGAACTAGACTGTCCGATTATCTGTACTTGGAAATGAAGCTGTAGGGCTGAAGTATGCGACACCAGGAGGGAATGCAGTATATAAGTCCAGGCGAGCTAGGAATGAAGTACCGGGAAACTTGCTAATAAAGCTAAATAGAATTTTTAAAAAATAGAAAATAATAGAAATGAGCTCGCCGGTGCCGATTTCCAATGCTCTTGAAAAAAAAAAATATGAAAAAAGAAGTGCGTGGAGAAAAGAACTGAGGCCCTCACGGCATGCCCAACTCGGTAGATCTCATTTCTGCTTGTAGCATGATGCATATGTAGGTAGCTTTATTTAAAGTCTAAGTGTCACGAACTACGCTGAACTATGGAAATTGAAGCCAAAGTTGTTGATATCTCGTTTTTGAATCGAATTTTCTTAGCTCTTCCTGTCATTCGGGTGTCTCGGGAGCGTCTAAGAAATGTGGATTTTGGTGACTTCATGAGTTTGGGAGCCTGGAACTATGACCTATGACTACATAGAGCCCCAAGAACCGGGATATTTGCAATGGGAATTCTTGTATGGATTCTGGAGGGCGCAGTTCTCCGTCTGTACAGCATCTGATGCCTTACGTGTGGCACGATGTATACAGAAACATAGGCGCCTTGGCCAATGACGTAGTCGATCGTTACTCTATTTGGACCGTGACCGACCTGATCAGCTCTGTATGCTTCCGTTAGACCTTCTATGTGTGCCTAGGCAGACATAGGATGCATGGAATAGGATGAGCATAGCATGTGCGGAGTACGGAGTATATATGCATGCTTACAATATAGCTTCCCACCCATCATCAGGTTGACTGACTACGTGCAAGTCTAACGTTGTTGGAGATGATCACCAGGGATCTATCCCCCCAATCAATGATAGCCTACGGGGTACGATATGAAATCCTTGTCAGGTGCTTCCATACTCCACCCATCTCGGCCTCCCTCGCTTTGTTTCCCGAGCCGCAATTTTGAGCTGGCCCGTCCTAGTGGGGGTTATAGTCTGATCGTAACCGAATGTCGGGCTCTATGCTCCGACATACGAAAACAGAGCAATAAGAGCAAATTTGAGCGGAAGTTCGGCACCTTGCTTTGTTGCCTAAAGAGGTGATATTGAAGTTTGCGCCAAGTACTCCGTACTCCATAGTAGCTCCCCTTATTCCCGTGGGCCGTGAATAAACCGAAATTAAGACCGAGCGGTGGTCCTTGCATCTCTGATGCACAGATTTTGTAAACATCTCATAACATAGTGGCATAGTGGGACTCCATGCGAAAAAAAAATAAGCCACGATGCATATCGTCATGTGGTTTTCTAACCACCCTGGTCCAAGCTTGCATATTGTACAACTTTACCATACCAAGCCCCCGCTGTACTCCATTCTCCATGCTTAGTACAACAGTGCATTCTACTCTACTTCATCTACTCAGCCAACGCCACAAGGATCCGTCATCTCCCAGTAAAGAAATAAGCGAGTGGGCGTTGACAAAAGTCGTGCCAAGACCGAGCCGAAGCCCGATCTTGGCGATTGGAGAACCGTATCCGTGAGCATCCGGGTACATGAGAAAAGGGCTGGGTTGTTACATCCACGCACCTGCACGTCCCTAGGATCTGCGTTGAACAATTGCTAATCTGTGAAGGTGAGCTCTTATGCCCGGAACGCAAACTCCGCTTTACTTCCGAGCTCCGAGACTATGGTGTAAGTACAGATGTCTCCGGCTGACCTCGTGTTGCTAATCAATACAGAGTACGGAGACTAACTAACTAGTGCAGGCCAGCCGTAAGCTGTGATATGACTCATGCTTTGTTTGTGCATGGCATAACCTTAAGCCGCTACCCTAGACGTCTGATTTCCAATCTCGACAACTGCCTAACGCCATGGCTTTCCACACCCCTCCTCTATGGCGGCAGTGCCCGGCTATAATCAGACGGTGTGACCTGAGATCAAGCCATTCGACACGTCCAGAACTCCCAGGAATATTGCCTGGTTGAGAATACCTAGGCAGTAATAATCGGGAGTCCGGCACAAATTCTATCCGCACCCCGGCGCTCACCTAGCCGTTCTCCGGGGGTAATGGTAATAATCGGCGACCAATGAGCAGAGTGTGAATACCTCGAGATCCCGTATGATCAACACGGGTGTAGGACTTGGGCACGGACACGAATACGATCGAATGGTTAGGGACTAAAAGCCACTCGCGCTACTACGTCAGTAGCGTTCCCAGCCTTAGTTAGTGCTGGGGATTAGCGCATTCGTGTGCCTGTCCGTAGACCAATCTAGGTCCGTGGCCTCGTTGTGTAATTAATTTGGCTCATATTAACTAATTCTCTGTAGATTAAAATCTAATCTATTTGGCTTATGATAGTAGAGGGCCGTTATACTATTGGGAGTCTTTTTTGGAGCCATTTTGGGGTATCTTTTAGGGTATCTCAGTGCTATAGCTCGAAGGATGATTACATGACGGTGACACTTTCTCTAAGGCAACTACCTTCAACTCTCAGTCATCGCGCGCCTTCTGTAGAATACCTTTCATCCGATCATACAACCCCATATCTTCGTTTCTCCACCTGCTTCCATTAGGGAAAACAGCCTTCCGAAGTGTATTAACACATGGAACTAGTGGCTGATAGTACTCTGTGAAGTACTCATTCGCGGATCTCACAAAATCCGCTTCATCGGCTATCTCGCCTTTCTTTAGGCCAGCTAAAATCCCTGTATCCATAAAGTTCCACCTGTCATAGTTTGCAACAGTTCTTCCCTTGCCTGGCGCGTCATAATGGATGCATATCCAAAAGATCACCCAGAAGAACGATTCAAGGTCATGCATAAAAGAATGCTTCTCGCCCAGAAGAGAGCCAATTGCCATAAAGGCCCTCGTGCCGGTCTTTCCAGTTGCTCCAGATACACCGTCTCGTTGCTCTCTGATGGCCAGATCAAGATCAATTAAGAACGACGGCCACGAAGGATTCTCTTTGTCTTCATTGATCATGATATTATTGATTGAGATATCTCGGTGAAGGATCCCTGCCTGTTGCAAGGACTGATGTCCTGTAATGCAACCCTCCAATGCGGCAAGCAGGGCCGAATGAGTGCTAGCCTTGTAAATTGGTTTACCATAGTCGCGCAGGACGACACGCCGATGCACTCGGTTTGGCAGTGGGTTGCTGGATGCATTGGTATTAGATACCTTGGCAGCAGATGCCTTGGTAGGAGATGCCGAACATGATCGTTTATTAGGTGGTAGAAAGAGGCCAGTTTGACTAGAAGAGCGCTTCACACTGGACCGGCCCTTTCGTGGAGTATTAGCCACACTTATGCCAGTCGAGAGCGCCACTCGTTCTGGTCGATAATTCCTCGCGGTTCTGATGTCCAAGCCGCCACGGACGTTGTCCCGGATATCATCAATTTCACCACGGATGCAGACCGTCTCATGATGATAATACCGTGCGACATTGATAACACCTCGTTCGGTGGCTTCTTGGAGAAGCTTACCTTCCTCGTCACGCTCTGTATATTGCCAAGAGTCTTTAACAACAAGCGGAACCCTAGGGTCGCCTTCACGATGCGCTTTCCAGCATGTTGTTGCTCGACCCGCTATGCAAGGTGCCCGCATCATCAATCTATCGAGAATGAGACGCTCGGTCCGGCCGTTCTGCTCTATCTCGATGAATCGCTGGCCGTCTTTCGAGGTAATCGTAGGGTCAAACCCACATTCCTCCTTGCTCATCCATAGGAAACCGAGAATAGTGGACACGAACTGGAGCCCATCCTCATTGATATCAAACCGTTCGGATGCGACTCCCCCGAGACGGTCAAATGCCCATATCCTCATAAAGGATCCACATATAGTAAAGCCCAGGACAAATCGGCGTGTATCTTGGGCCGCAAGAACTTCCCTAGCATATCTCCCTAAGTCAAGCCATGCCTTAGAAGCTGTATCAGCTGCCGGATTGCTTTTTAGCTCTCCAGGAACGATGACCTGTGACCAATGACATCGGGTATCCTTTCCAGCGGTAGTATCACTCATAAAGCCGATGTCTAGCTTACGCTCTGCTGTAGAACCCTTTATGGGTATATTGGGCTGTGCGAGTGGCCTTCGCAGGTACGTCGACGCAGAATTGTAGTCTACTGAGAACGTTGCCAGTTTCTCACTCAGATCTGCAAACCAACTCAAGACATCCTCCTGGTTTGCATCTTTTGGCCAACCTTTCCACCCGTCGGCAAAAATCGGATTGCTACCTTCAGTGCATCTTTCGAATACAGCATCGGATGCTGCTTGAAGACCACTGATATTTCCAAAGAATGTTGAGCGGAAATGCGGGAGCCCTACATAGAGAGACCCAAGCTCTGACTTGAGGACCCTGTCAACATCTTGGCGGTATTCAGAGGAGTTCGCGAAGCTACTCGTTTTTTGGAGCCAGGGGGTTTGTTGGAGGGAGGAGGCAACCGCTCGAGGGGGCGGCGTAGATTCCGTTACGGCCACGTCCACAAGATTCCATATCTCTTCATCTGTTGATGTCTCCACAAGAGATGCTTTGAAAAGTGGTTTGATTCGATCAAGGTCGAAATGACCCGATAGGATAAGTTGAAGCAGACCCCGTTGAAGAGTTCCTCCCGACTTGGACAGCAGAAGACCAGCAGCGGGAAGACCCTCAAGGGCTGACACGAGGGCGACCGCGAGAGATTGCATAACTGTATTCAAGTTAGCCAAAATAAAGATTTTGCGATGGAGTGCCTCACCCTCCTGTGTAAGCTGATCGACATCGTCTCCACAGATTGACTTGAATCTGTTGCGAAAGCCATTTAGGCCATCCCCAATAGGGTTTTCAATAATCACCTGTGATCTTCTTTGATCAGACATGGCATGGTGCTCTTTCTGCCACCAGGTTGACTTTGTGGTGAGAGTAAGAGCGGAATACCACGTGATTTAGAGAGTGGAACCTACCCCGATATACAGCGTTTAGACCTGGCACGTGACCTATGGCACACCATTTAAAGATGTTCACGGAGTAGTAGGTATCTAAAACCTATATATTTCAACAGGGGTGATATAAACGACGCTAAAAATGTGGTGTATAGCTGATATATCTAGAAAAAGACACCTAAATGACGTATATTGTCTAAATCACCGACGTATTGTTCTGCTATTCTACGAAGTAGCTAAAGATTGAGTGATCTAAATTTATACTCGGTGTTATGGCTAGATGGATAACAATTAGCTATAAAAAAGTACCAGGAATATTGGACAGAATATCTCCAGGCGCGAAGTATAAGACATGTAGAATGTCTGCACTATCACAATGAAGTCATTGCAAATACTAACTATTCCAGTTGGTGTCCTATTGCATAAATGATTACCTGCCTTGCTAGTGCCGCCGCATAGAGCCTTAACCGCATGGGGCGTCATCTAGATAGATCGTCTATCCAGCCGCGGCACCAAAACGGGACCAGTATATCCGATCTGTCGACACCTACAGCCGCTACGAAGAATTCGCGGGCTCAATGATCAATGGTGCACCTCGAGAGGCTCACCCAGCCAAACATCAAAAGCTACACCAAATTCAGGGACAAGAATAGCCGTGCGAGAGCACGCCCACCGGCATCCAGACCACGAGCACGTTGTACAGCAAGCTGGAGCAGAGATGATTCCCAGAGAAAAATTCCGTCATTGAAATTGTTAAGAAAAAACCAGGATGAGGGAAATAACATAAATCCTCGTTTTTCAAGACACTCCATGCAACAACCCCAAATCCTCCCCTCGGAGCCAAGATCTGGTTTGATTCGCAACCCCGAGACACCGGACACACAAGCCCGATGTCTATTCCTCCATTCACAAAAACATCAAAGACGCCATTTTTGAGCCCGTCTGAAACATTGCTCCACTTGACGCTACCGTAGTCGAGCCGGGTACGTAGATGGATTTCGTGGGTGCGAACGGTTCGAGAGGGGGGAGTTGGTTTTTTTGCTCGCTTAGCGGTACTGTAGGTTGAGAAGCTTGTGGTTAGTGTTGTGCTTTTGCAGTGTGCATCTGTGGTGGCCGGGCAGATTGTCGATTGGATTTTCACGTCGGAGAATGTGGTTGTGATATTCGAATGGGATCGGACGGGATTGTCGAGAGAGGAATTAAAACGAACCTTGGTGAAACCAATGTCGGTAGACTTCTCACGGAAGCACTGACGGCAGATGTTCATCTAAAACGATCCGTATTAGCCACACAAGTCCATGTACCGTCACATCTTGCAATACGCAATATGCTCGAGAGATTGGTGTCTCCTTACGCCGTACTTGCGGATCAGACCGGCGCGGTGGGAGCAGACACGGCTGAAGGCGCACAATCATTAGCAAGCCCGTTCCTTTTGTATCGATTTCCGATTCCATCCAGGCTTCCTCCAAGTTTCATTCTCGGTGTCGACTGGATCGTTCATCGGGGAATTATAGCAGGGTAAACACACCATTCGCGGGAGCCCTTGCCGTACCTATCGAGCGGAGAGAAATCCCAGTTAGCCCCATCGCTCTTTTTCGAGATAGTGCCTGGTGTGTGCGTGGTGCGGTTTCGACTTACTTGCGGGGCCGGCTGTACCAAACGCTCTCGTGAGTCATCTTGAGGTTTTAAAGGTGGGACCTGGGAGTTGACGGGGTTGTTGACGGGACGAGGGTCGCTGGCGTTGGGCGTTAAGAACAGAGACAGGAGTTAGGGTTGGAATTTGCGTTGTGTGCTGCCCCAATGGGGAATAGGGCACGGGCCAACTCGCTTGAGTTGCGCTAGCTATTTTGGGTGGATCATGTGACCAATGGGCGATCACCACATCTTGGCGCCTCAGGCTGCCAGGTCTTATACTTCACTTTTCAACGTTGGTCTTAGCTGACTTTTCTTCAAGGGGCTATTGATAGATACTGTTACTATTATTCGAAACATTTTCGAGATCTTCGAATTATGAAGACAACGTGGGCTGCTCTTGTGAATGAAACATACCAGGAATTCATAAGGTTATGTGCATAAAGCCACCATTTCGTATTTTCTTTTGAATCTACGTACTTCAGAATGCTAGGATATTGGCAGCCGTAATATACAGCAAAAGTGACTTCCCTGCTCTTGAAACAGAGCCCTTCTGTTGCTTCCTCTGTCCGTTCCCAAAGACTGTGGGCATCTTCCCCACAATCATGGAACAGTTGGCCTAGACTAGATATGGAAATCAGGGCGAAGTCAAGAAGGACGTCCACATGTCAATTAGGTTATACGTTTTGGAATAGCCAGGATAACCAGGATTATCTCGGGGAAGCAAATCAGTGGGTTTATATTGCCATTTGGAGTCATAGAAGACTGCAGAAAAAGTGTGGTGATTAACAGAAAGAGATAGCACATAAGCGGCTGCATATTAGCATAAAGAGAAGAATGTTTGTTCCTTACGGATGTGTGTAACCTTGTATTGAGGCACGTGCCTTGTTTGCTAGCTATTTAATTAGCCTCAGTTGATTCCTTCTTCTCCTTCTTCTTCTCCTTCTTGCCAACCTGGAAGCTTGTATATTCCTGAGGTGAAGTCTCGGCACTTCTACATCCATCTTTCATTCTAATATATTATATATATAGGTTGATCTTCATTCCTATCATCCATCCTCCCATTCCACCCCAGCTGGTCTCGATGAAAACTTCCAACCGACCTCAAGGGCATACAAGTTAGCCTTGCTGTCTAAACGCTGAAGTCACTCAGAAGCTTGGTGATCTGGTAGACTGGTTGACTGGACTGTTCTCGAGTGTATTCACTTCATGAAGGAATCGAAAGCTGCCGGGTGTTCCTTTCGACGTGGCCAGGTTGTCTAGCCCCTGGCCATGTTCCGATTATATATTCCCAGGTGGAAATGGGATCCTGCCACTCGTGCCCATGCTGCCCTCCCTGCCTTGATCTAGCACCTGGCTACATCGGAACCATATTCTCCTCATCAATCATGAGTCTGTCGATCAACCCAGCCCTTAGCTACCAGGGGTGACCGCGAACCTTCCGAAATGCACCAAGCGAGCCAAAGAAAATCAATTCAATGTCTATAGAGGCCTCTTGGCGATCATCGATTTATATCGGTCCATGGCTAGGATCCCTAATGCCGTCCTCCAAGGTCCTACTCGTGTCCCCAAGGTCCTTCCTTCTTGTCCTTTCAAGGTCCTGCTTGTGCCTTCAAGGTCCTCTGAGTCCGATAAACGCGCTCAACTCATCACCCAGCACGATACCACGCTATTCGACATTGTTATTCAGTCAAAACTAAACACACTTTACTGCTCATTGGAAACCGCAAGTCCGTGCTTCAGAGTCCAGAATCCAAGTGCTTCGAAATCACGAGCCACAAATTGAGCTCGACGATTTCACTCTCAATTTCAGGGGTCAAAGATCTCTTACATTGCGAATCATTATTTTCAGTGTGCTGGGATATAATCAGATTGGAGGGCATATGTTGATCAGCTCAGGTCAAGACACTCGAAGACTGGTCTTCATGCAAATTGCAACAAACCCGAGATGCTGAAGGTCCATCACTTTTCCGGTCCGCAAAACGACATGGACATGGACCATGAACTCTGGTGGTGTCTATATTTTGACCATAGCTAAGTTGAGGAGATGTTGATGTCCTTCATCCATACGATCATTGAAGTCAGATTCGTGGCCAGCAGTATTTCTATCGCGGCCACGTGGCTCACTTCTTGACGTCCTCAAATATACGATCGGCTCCCCTTAGAGCTCGAGAGCTCGACGTGGCCGTTTTACGGCTACCAGATACCGCAGACGTTTCCCACCTACGCTGTCAGCTTCGTCGGGATTTCACTGGGTTGCATTATAGGACATCAGTCCTTGCAACAGGCAGGAGTTCTTCACCGAGATATCTCAATCAATCATATCACGATCAATGAGGATGAAGAGAATCCATCGTGCCCTCGTTCTTAATTGGTCTTGATTTGGTCATCAGAGAGCAACGAGATGGTGTCTCGGGAGCAACTGGAAAGACTGACACGAGGGCCTTCATGGCTGTTGGCTCGCTTCTGGGCGAGAAGCATTCTTTTCATTCTTCTGGGTGTTCGCCACAATGCGATTCAGCGGTGGTTGGAATTTCTGAGATTGGACCACCCCGGCCATGGCACGTTATTGACCGTGACCGAATCTCTCAGCTGCCCGTCGACCAGGATATATATGTCGAATCAGATCCCCTCCGATATTCTGTCTGTGGATCCCGGAAATTGAAGTCCAAGTCTACAGTAATACAGCGTGATACTAGTATATGCGAAGGAATCAAGTGGCTATCGACGTATGAGACTGATTAATTGTATTGTAAGCCTAGCTGTGCACAACGGATCTACTTCTTAACCTTCTCAGCCCGGAGATAACGGGCGCTGTAAAACAGGAGATATGCGTCCTGGCGGAGGACTTCCGCCACACCGGCGATGGTGACCTTATTGTCATCCATCAATACCCACTATGAAGGTAATTCATTAGCACGGACACAGACGGGACGAGGGTATAGAACAAACCTTGTCGTGGTCAATACGAGTGTACGCATAATAATGTCCAGAGTCCATTGTCCCTTGATGGACGATGACTGTAGACAAGTCGTAAATGTAATTCGACATGTCAACAGGAAGGTTGTCCTTTTTGACCGTGTATGGAAGCATGTTCACAGACAAAGGGAAGTCGATATGACCGTTCATTTTTTCGGATGAGTTAGAGGAGTGTTCATAACGCTGTAGGAAAGTCAGCATAAAATCTTATTCCAAGGGAGCCAGAACTCAAACATACCTTCAGCTGCATGCAAAGCATAACAGGGAGTTTTCGGATTAGCAGGCGCTTCGAAGCCCGCTGGGGGGTGTTACCACACTTTTCGCAGTGGTAAGCAGCATCGGCGTGGAGATCTTCAGCGGCAGTGAAGCTATCTAGGCAGCCGATGAGTGTTCCAGTAGTGGACGAAGTAGACCGACCGAGCTTGCGCTTCTTGTGTTGAAGCTGGACATCAAGACTCAGATCGGCCATGGGGTCGTGGGTGTTAGTAGTTTGGCCGCATTTGTGGCACATGACGCTGCTGCGCAGTTCGCCATAGAACATCTGGTGGAAGAAGCACTCGCATGGCTTATCGTAGCTATCCACATGTCCGGGGGTAGATGAGTGCAGTTCATTGACAAGGAATTGGAAGTATTCGTGGGCATCTTGCTGGCGGTATCCGCGCATTTCCTGTAACTAGTTAGCAAGTTCTGTTGCTCAACTCGGACCTCGACGTGCCTTGGATTTCTGCCAGCCATGATGAAGAAGCACGGCTGCAGAGACTGCATCGTTTCTCTCGGCGCTGTTAAACTCCATGAAGACTTCAGCTGTTGCACAGGCGAGACAGTCCTTGATCATGCATGTGTGGACATCATGGCCACCTCCTAGGAAATAGGCAGTGAGGGTAGGGTCGTGCAGCAGGGCCTGCAAGATAGAAGCTTGATAGCACGTTTGACCCATGTTCCAGACACCACGAGCGCCGCGGATGGCGCATGGGTTCTTGTAAGCATTGCTCTTGACGTAGACCTCGGTGGCTGAGTCTTCGGCCCAAATGGACCGCCCATCTACCAGATATTAGTAGATGTCCGATGTCCGTGAGTGGAATATTCTTGAATTGCCTAAAACTCACCGAGGGTTTCAAACTTGGCAGAAGGGCCACGGAGTCTGTCGAGGGTGTGGTCATAGATGAAATCGACACACTTCTGACAGAAGACAAAGCGATTGCGAGACTCGATATCTGCCATGTATAAGTATGAAACAAGTTGAAAAGTCAGAAACCATTGGCTTACAAAATGCATGCCCAGTCGCTGCAGTATGCTCTGCTCGTTTGGAACTCAGGCATACTTCTGTGCAACTCAAACAGTGATACTTCGGCTTGAGGGAGGCCACAGTTCGGAGGCCAGTAGTTGGAACAGCAACCGTTTCTGTCTTTGAAAACGGAGCTAGCGATTTGTACTTCTTGCAGAACTCCTCTCTGAACTGGCCAGCAGTCTTCTCGTCCTTGGAGAGAATAGCTGCAAGATGTACTAGCGGGAGGTCAGCTGGGCACAAATGAGTCACGACAATTGCCATTCTTACCACAACCATACGCAGCTTCAGAAAGAAGCTGGACCGAATCGAGAGTCGCCATAGTGAGCGACATGAGTATGGTTAGACGGGAGAGAGAATGAAAGAGATAAGGTGGAAAGGAGAAGGTTAGGATTGATCAGAACACGACACAAAGATATGCAGTAGAAACACGTTAATAGAAGTTCCAGACTTCTACCGACGTGGAGACAAGAAGAGGAGGTTGAAAGAGAATTCAAGGGAGAGAAAGGCTGGTTACAGAGAGCAGGTACAGCCTCAAGGACTCCTGCTGAATAGGGCCAGCATTGCACTGTATAAACAGATATCAACGATGTGACCAAACAGAGCGTACCAGAACAATAGAACTCACGATAGCAAGTGAATAGGGACAATAGTAGACGAACAGAGGGAAGCTATACAGTCCACAAAGCGTTGCGTATGACCTGGTTCGACGTCACTACCAAGTTCGGAATAATACGACCCTATTCAACAGCAATGAATGTAAATATAAAAGTCTATTATGCACTGAATGGGGTCAAGTTTCCCTGAGGATCTCAAAAAGTAGTGGGGAGGTTGGTTTGCCATCGGGCGGTGGTTTTTCGCCTCCGATTGACCGATACCGCCGGATAAGATCAGATGGCAGAAGGCAGAAGCTGACCTTGGTCTTTCTGTGTAGGGAAGTATTTAGTGATTTAGTATTCAAGTACAGAGTATATAGACTGGGTTTTAATGTTGTACAACCTCTGGGTGACATGATAGTTTCATTCAATGGTCATTTCTAGGTAATCATAATGAATGGCAGATGCGCCAACCCACTGCAGTGGACGCTATAGGTAAAGGTCCAGCTCTTGGACGCTAATAGTCAAACATGCAGCATGAATAATAAATTGTTCATAATCAGGTCATTGTAGGCATTCAACATCCGTTACCGAGTCCCAGTCCCTCTGCCCCGAGGCAGTGCGCTAGCACGCCCACCGCGCGCAGTGCCTCGTGTAGTATACCGGCTGCTTGCTGTACCACGAGCAGTGCCACGCGACGTTCCCCTTGAGCCCGCAGCATACTTGGACGTCGGTCTAGAGGAGGAGGTGGTGCTCGGGGGATTCTCAACAAAAGTCGTGTCCGTAGTCCTGGAGCGTGAGAATCATTAGCTCAAGTGTCCTCCTGTAGATTGGTCGCATCGCCCTCTAGACTCACATAAAAGTCATTTCGCCGTCATCAAGCGCTCGTGTTCGTTCTGATTCCATCTCTGGATGGCCTGTTAGCAAACCCAGTCCAGCGCACCTATGTAGTTCCCACAGATGAGAGCCCTCGCAATACCTTTTTCTTCTTCTTCATCCTGGTTGGCTTTTTTGAACGAGTCCGGAATCGGAGCCTATGTCGAATCAGCAACCCTCTCGCGCTGTTACCACTGCCACAATTGTCGGCGACCGGTCTGCGACCATACCTCTGGAAAATCCACACAGAATGCATTCATATTCAATCCGTAGAGGAAACTGGCAAAACTCTCACTGAAGCGCGTCAGGCTCTCGTGCATCAACTGCAAGTGCATGAAGTTGGCCTCGAGATCTGCCATCGAATCGGCCAGCTCGGCGAACTGCGGCTCCAAGGCATTGATGGCAGGTTGTGTGTATCCTGCATTTCCAATGCTATTTCCATATCCGTGTGCTTCTCGTAGTGAAGATCGCGAGCTTGGGCGTAGAGGGGTTGTGGGCCTGGATGAGGGTCTCGGGCGCGAGGATGACCGAGGTGCGTCCATGTCTTTTGTATTTGATAATCTGATAGGAGTGCTGGCGAGAGATAATAGGCCAACAATAAATAACTGGGTGTTGTTATTGTTAAGAGTGGGTTGTTGTCAGAGCGATGTCGGTGGGTTGTGTTTGGGATTGTTGATCTCCCCGGAAATGTCTCGCACGCGACAACTTTTATACTTGCAATTTGGAGATGAGAACTGTATTTGTACAATGTAGATGTATTACATGGACTTGAACATAAGAATCCATGTCTCTAATTGATTCCTCGTTCTACCCTACATTACCTATAAGGAAATGATCTTCCCCGCATCGTCATATTGTCGATTCCGCTCGGCGCTCTTACAATTTCTTTTCTCCTATCTCCCAGTGCTAAGACCTAGTGCTCACTCATACCACCATAACACCTCGATCATACTGCTTATGCGTGGCACAATCCTACGTCGTCTCTATCCTTCGGCCAAGTTCCCTGTCGCTCGGTATTCATTCACGCGACCATTTTCTACGCACCCAGAACCAAGAAAGGCTTCATCTTTCTGGACCCTTACATTTACTCTCGCTGTTGTCGGAGGAGGCGCTTGGCTCCAGGACAGATACTTCAATCCTAAAGACACAATCACTCCGCAGCCCCAGCTGTCTCAAGAACCCTTCCTCGGAGTAATCGATACGCTCGCGACGATGCCCGCCCAACTCGCCCCCGGAACAGTTGGGAACCTCACTCCGGAGCAAGAAGTGAAGCTGCAAGAATTCTGGGTCCTGGCACTCAAAGTCTTCGGCCTCACATTCGAAGAACTCGAAGCCCCCGTGTCTGCCGCCCCCAGTGAAGCCCCAGCACCCGCCCCAGTCCAGGATAAGAAGAAGTCCAAGGGCCGGTGGGGAATTTGGAGCCGCGGCGATGACGATGAGATGAAAAGCGCTCCCAGCAGCGGCGCCGGTACCAGCATAGCTTCAATCAGTCTCGCCGACGGCGACGACAAGTACGGCCAGTCCAAGGAGTTCAAGCAAGCGCTGGAGGACATGAAGCCCGAGGAGATCCGGACAGCGTTCTGGAACATGGTGAAGGGCGACAACCCGGACTCGCTGCTACTTCGGTTCCTGCGGGCACGCAAGTGGGACATCAAGAAGGCGCTTGTTATGTTGATTTCTACGATGCGCTGGCGACTGCTGGAAATGCATGTCGACGACGATATCATGTTCAACGGCGAGGCGTTGGCTTTGAAGATGTCGCAGGGCTCTGATCCCATTGAGAAGAAGAAGGGTGAGGACTTCCTGACGCAGATACGTCTAGGTAAGAGTTTCCTGCACGGTGTTGACCGGACTGGTCGGCCGATCTGTGTTGTCCGCGTGCGCTTGCATCGGGCTGGTGATCAGGAGAATGAAGGATTGGAGCGCTTTACTGTTTATACTATCGAGACTGCGCGTTTGTTGCTTGCGCCGCCGATCGAGACTGCGGTAAGTATTCCGGTGTGCGGATTTTGTCTCGGGAGCTGACTCTTCAGACTATTATCTTTGATATGACGGACTTTGGTATGGCCAATATGGTAAGCTTTCGTCTCTACGTGCTTGACACTATACTGATATCTCCAGGACTACGCCCCGGTCAAGTTCATGATCAAGTGCTTCGAAGCCAACTACCCCGAGTCTCTCGGAGCAGTGCTCATCCACAAGGCCCCTTGGATCTTCTCAAGTTCGTATCCTAGCACCATATATAAAACCCCCTTCTGACCAAACTAGGCATCTGGAGCGTTATCAAGGGCTGGCTCGACCCAGTCGTCGCAGCGAAGATTCACTTCACGAAGAACCGTCAGGATCTCGAACAATACATCCACCCAAGCCAGATCTTGAAAGAGCTCGAAGGCGACGAAGACTGGGAATATAAATACGTCGAGGTGCCGGAGAACGAGAATCCCAAGATGGCCGACGAGGAAACGCGAGATACCCTGGTGGCCGAGCGCCAAAAGCTCGCCAAGGAGATCCAGGATGTCACCGTTGAGTGGATCAGCACCAGCTTCAAAAAGAAGACCGACGCTGCCTCTGCTGCCAAGGAGAAGCGGAATAGCTTGATCGAGCAGCTGCGTGCGCAATACTGGGTTCTTGACCCGTATGTCCGGGCTCGCTCGCTCTACGACAGACTCAATATCGTTCAGGGCGGTGGTAAGATTAACTTCTATCCTGGCTTGGAGAAGGGAGCAGAGACATCGGCATAAGCTACGCGGTACATGAGTCGCGGTACATGAGTTAAATGGTGTCATGCTTACCTGCTAACTATAGAGTTTTGATTTGCATGTGTGTAGTATACACAGACTTGGCTTTTGTTAACTAGAGGATATATGAACATTTGGTATACATTCAACAGCAGAGCCCTGGGTAAATCCAACCGGGTCCTACTTCAGAGGTCCTACAACTCTTCCTTCAGAAGAACCTGTATAGTTCACAGCGATCTAAATCAGAGGCGATACAAATAGAGATAACTCAGTTTCATTGTTCTTGAATTCATTGTCACCAAAACCAAAGCCGTTTACATCTTCGACTGGATCTCCTCGTGAAGAGCCTTGAGCTTGGCCATATCCGTCTCCTGTGTAGGCCAACCAATGGACATACCCTCCTTCTCGTTAGGCTTGGGAATCTATTATCTTGTCAGTGTATATTCAAAGGCGATTTCTAGCGTAGGACCAAAAATTCAAAAGATAGTAGAGCATACCATGTGGAAGTGGACCTATGAGAGACGACTGGTTAGCACGGCACAATTATTAGAGGAATCCCCAACTGAAACTCACATGGTCAACGACCTGGTGCGCAATGCGCCCATTGTTCTGCAGGATATTGAAATCCTCGGCGCCGCTGGCCTTGGCAATCTTCTTCGCGACGGGCTGTGGGCGTACATCTTGGTTAGCTACCCCTGTTCGTCAATCCAATCCCGGGTCTCTAGGGACCTTGCGGGGTTGCCCCCAAGGTCCCCGAAGATATGTAATCGAATCCGATCGGACCGAAGACATAGACTCTCCTCTTCACCATCTTCGTTGTCCTGGGTTGTTCTCTCGACTTACCAAGATCTCGAGTAGGTCCTCGTCAGGGATATCGGTCAACTTTGCGCCGTGGAACTTGGGAATGACAAGCTGCACATGCTGTCAGTTTGGACTTTTCTTCTTCTCGAATTATCGTTCTTGAATCGCTGGAGCTATCATGGCAGTTTTGGCAACTTCGCTCCCCGCCATGATGAACACGCCGGATGCGGGGAAGAGGGGTAGGAAGTAATACGCACCGCATGGCCACGGCTCAGCGGCTGGATATCGAGGAAAGCGAAGACTTTCTCGCTCTCAAAGAGCTTAAATGAAGGGATATCACCTGTATAGCCCCGAGGAAGCAGGTCAGTCAATGCATATTCTGCTATGACGTGTCGACTGGACATTGCGATAGAGTACGGAGTAGCTATAGTGTGAAATGGACATACCCTTGATGATCTTGCAGAATATACAGGCAGCGGACGACATTTTGTACAGCTTTAAAATTTGAAGGTCTTGATAAATGATCTCGAAGTGAAGCTATGTTGTAAGCGTTCAATTTGAAAAAAAAAAAAAAAAAAAAAGAATATGCGGGGTTGCGGAATGAATCGACTGACGAGGATCGAACTCCGACCGTTCCCGTGTCCAGACCACAGCCAAACTTAGCAATGGGGGTATTATAAACTAAGTCCATGAAGCAGATTCGAGGAGTGGGACAAGTTAGTGCAGAACCCATTTCTTGCCTTTTACCAGAGATGGCCGTGATTTGCCCACAAAACTCCTCTTATAAATCTTTGGAAACACAATGACACAGCTGTCATTTTTTTTCTTTTGCTTTTGCATATTTGTATTTTAATTACTTCCATACTTAGACAATTGTGATTTGTATATTTTATGGTATGTTATTGGGAAATACGGAGTACTTCTGTGCATAACGTCGGTCCGTGTAGATAGTGTATAGGGTTGTATCCTTAAGCAGCTATTGACGACATGTATGTTGTTGCTATGCAGTTATCTATGTTGTATAGCTTCTATTCCTCCTATTTGCAATGCTGTAAACTGCTATTTCTATGGGTTCAACTTGATATCTCTATTTTGTCCTATATACAATGAATGGCTTCTAGAGCTACCTTGGCAAGATATACATCCTCGAACAGCCCTGGTTACTTATACGTACTGGTGAATAATGTCCGAGCATGGATTTAACATGAATGTAGGTAGCTAGCAGGAGCCAATTTATTAGCTATAATTTGATTGCATATAGAAAAGCATCTATGGATATAACATCGATTCTTATAGACATGAATAAAGCCTGGGGAACATCCAATCACAGTCCAGGTGTTGTCAGATCAAAACGGGGATTTTCTCCTACAGAGGTTGTAGATATACTAACTCATAGCTTTCAGTAAATACACCGAATTCAAATCAAATCAACAACTAGAAGCTATCATACCAGCCAAGTCCAAGAATAAAAAAGAAAGACGACAAGGTGATTTGTTAAAGTGGTGGTCCGTACTCCCAAATCAGGACTAGCGCAATAGTCCCGTGCGGTTCTTCCCACTTGACGCTGCGAAAGACCGCACATCACCACGCCCTTTGGCAACACTCCGCTCCAATTCGCTGGTCTCGAGAGATATACCCAGCCAGAGACCATGCAGAAGTCTCGCACCATCAACACTGCCCTGGGCGCCCGGCCTTTTGTGCCAGTCCCGCGGGTGCAGCCCCAGTTCCAGCGCAACCTTCAGGATGTCCGCATCACCCGGACTGGCAAGCCCGTTATAAAGGTCCAAGGTGGCCGGTAAGCGATCAATGATGCTGTGGTTAGCTTTAATGTCCTGCTTACTGACGCGCTCTTTCTATAGGTCTTCCATTGGAGGTAGCTAAGCCGTTCCAATTTGATGCTACGCTCGGTCCCGATGTGCTCACGCAATTCTAGGTCACACCGCGACGGTCTTTGGTGCTACTGGTTTCCTCGGTCGCTACATTGTCAACAAGCTTGGTAGGTT